TTGCATAATTCATAGATGGAATCAAAAAATAAGTATCATGATTTGTAGCTTCATATCTTTCACACCTATGACAGCCATTCAATTACAGAATAACTGAACTTAATACAGATCTTGGAATCATTATATCACAAATTGTTAAATCAAGATTTTCAAAACTAATGAAGCATATGCAATCGTATTATTACTGTAATAACATTTTAGTAATAGATTAAGGGTTGTTTTTTACTGTTGATATAATCAATTTTTAAAAATATTTTAACTCATGCTTTTAAAATTCCTATTTTATGTTTTATACTATAGCAGGCCTGCACTATACATAATTTATTAGTTCAGTTAATATGTGTGTGTGTGTGTGTGTGTGTGTGTGTAAGGGTGTGTAAGGTCACAATGTTTACTTAGGGGTACATGGTCAAAGAAGTTTGGAGAGCATTGATAAAGAGGATACTTTGCTAACTAACTGCCACTGGGGAGTTTGGGGTCCCCCAGTTTCTCAATTCCAAAAACTCTTATGTCCTCTCATGCAGATGATTGAGAGAAGAAAGGGCATATAGGCAAAACTTAAGCCTAAGTTGGGTCAGTATTATTATTTTGCCCTCTAGCAAAGCTTACGTACACAAAATTCATGGTTTTAGGAATGAGAAATGTGCTCCTTTCATAACAGTCTTTAAATTGCAGCATCTTTTAAATCATAAATACATGCTTGTTTGCATGCATACATATTTCTATAAATGTTGGCAACTCACACAAAAGAATTTGAAAAGAAGCCAAGTTTTTTAGATGTGAATATATATTCGGCCACCATTTAGCACTCTGACAAGGAGTCACTTGAAATCCTTCCCATTCTCAACAAATTCTTTGTCTATTATGAGTAATATGTCATGCACTTAAGGATTGAACAGTATTGCGTTGCTAAAATCCACTTCTGAAAATGAAGAACCTGTGCTGATTCTCTGTGGGATTCTTAGTTGTAAGCATTAGTAACACTATCTGCCTCTACTTAGGTGACCTTGGACAAGTCAATTAACCTCCCTTGGCTTCTGTTTCTTCCTTGGTAAAATGAGGAGGTTAGAATAAATAACCTCTAAGAGCCCTTTTCGCTCTAGAGCTATGGTCCTGGGACTCAAATGGTATGAGAATCTGTCACATATGATGGCAAGTTCTGAGCCTGAATCATGCATAAATCCTGTCCTTACAACCTCCTAGATTTTCTAAGTTCATAACTAGTAAGCACTATGGTGTAATTCTTTAGTATAAAACATCTGACATGATAACCACAAGAAAAAAAGGTGTCTAGAAATAGTATCTGCAGCATCTCTAGCACCTAGATGTGAATTTAAAGAAAATCTATGTTATACCAGACCTCCTTATGTTAAACTATCTAATAAAGGAAGAGGTTGAGGGATAGAAATAGAGAGTTTAGGGGAAATAAGGTGAATGGGGGAGAGAGGAGACAATGGTGATACTTGGGGGGCAATTTGAGGAATGCATATCTCTGAGTAAGAGTGAACAACAGAGTGAAGTATAACAGTTCTGAGGTTTTGCCTTTTTCACTTCCCTATTTTTCTCCCTCCTTTCTCAAGAAGTCAGAGTTCAACATGCAAGGAGGGAATTAGTCATTCAATTACTTACTTTTTATTATGCCTTAACATTGTGCAATAGGTTCTGAAAGGTTATGCCTCTAGAATAGAAGCCCTGACAGGTTTTATCATGCTGAAGAAGCACTATCATCAGCTAATATTTCAAGGCACAATATATAAGGTGCCGTATCCCAGCAGCATGAAGGAGGGCTCAGAGTCCCCACAGAAAGCACAGAGGGGCTTGGCATCGAGAGATTGAGAGTCTTACCACTTGATCATGAATTCTTTGGCCATGGTAACTAATGAAACCAAAAAAAAAATTACGAAGTAGACCTCAGTCCTTTTTGGCACCCTTCCATTTCTGCAGTATTGGTAGCAAAGTGGCAGAAAGCAGCAACAGAGAGTACTGCAATTAACTCAATTTCTAGACTTACAGGGAAATCAGTGATTTGGCAGAGTTGGTTTTGACACATATCCACAGGCATTCAAGAAACATAATTGGAAGGGGCATTTGGTCATTGTATGTTATATTGCTTGAAATCCTTCTATTTCATTGAATGATCTTTTTTTCCCTTAATGTATTATGTTTAATTTTGCCAGGTAAGTGATACTTGGTTGTAGTCCTAGCTCCTTTGCCTTCCAGAATATCATGTTCCATGACCTCTGATCCTTTAATGTTGCAGCTACTAAGTTCTGTGTAATCCTAATTGTGGTTCCACAATATTTGAATTGTTTTTTTTCTGGTCACTTGAAGTATTTTTTCCTAGACCAGCTAATTCTATAATTTGGCTCTACTGTTCTTTGGAGTTTTTAGTTTGGGATCTCTTTCCTGAGGTGATGGGTGGATTCTTTCAATGCCTATTTTTTCCTCCAGTTCCAGGATATTAGGGCAGTTTTCCTTGATAAATTCTTGAAAGATGCTGTCCAGGTCCTCCTTTTTATTATGGCTTTCAGGTAGTCCAGTGATTCTGACATTGTCTCTCCTGGATCTATTTTCCAGGTCAGTTGTTTTTCCAGTGAGGTATTTTACATTTTTTTCTGTTTTTTTTTTTCATTCTTTTGAATTTGTTTGATTGCCCAATTCTAAGGAATTGTTTTCCTCAGTTAGTTTTTGTGCTTTCTTTTTCATTTTGCCAATTCTGCTTTTTAATCAGTTTTTTCTTTTTCCAAGCTTTTGATTCTTTTTTCATAATTCTTTTGCTTCACTTTGATTTCTTTTCCCACTTTTTCTTCTACCTCTCTTATGTGATTTTTAAGCTCCTTTTTGAACTCTTCTATGAGTTCTTTCTGGGCTTGAAACCACTTCCTATTTTTCTTTGGGGTTTTGCCCATAGGTGTTTTGACGTTGGTGTCCTCTTCTGAGTTTGTGTCTTGATCTTCCCTATCACCATAATAACTTTCTATGGTCAGATTCCTTTTTGGTTGTTTTTTGCTAACCTTTTTTGGCCTTCTTCCTTTCTTTTAAATTTGAGTTCTGCTCCCCCGAGTGGAAGGGGCACTGTCTTAGGCTTCTTGTGCCAGGGGCTGCAACCCCTGTATGTTTACCTGGTGCTACACTGATGTTGCCCTGATGCCTATGGGAGGCCCTGATACCCGTGGGGGACCCTCATGTCAGGTGCTGTGCTGAGGTGGTAGAGTGGGAGTGACTGGAGCTGCTGGAGGCCATAGGGGTCTGGCAGCTTATCTGGTGCTGAGCCAGGGTCGTAATTTTGGTGTCTGGAATGTGCTAAGGCTCATAGGGTGCTTCTGCATTTCCCCGGGGCTACACTGAAGCATGTGGCTGTCTGACTGCTAAAGTCTGCCTGCTTGCCCTGGGCTGTGCTGAATCACATGATGGTTCTTGGAACTGGAATCTGCCCATTCCCCTGGCTCTGCTGAGACACATGGAAGGTCCTGGTGTTGGCATTTGCCTTCTCCATCACATTGGGGCTCAGGAACTCCTGCTGGTTTGCTAAGGTGGGACTTGCTGGTGGCTTACTGGGATGTGTCCTGGACTACATTCCCCTTTTGCCTGAGTGAGACAGACCTTTCTTGGTGATTTTCCGAGTTTCTTGGGCTAAAAGATTGTTTTACCCCATCTTTTTGCTGGTTGTGCTGTTTCAGGATTTGTTTTGGGACACCTATTTTGTGGTGGTTTGGAGATGAATATGGAAAAGTTACGGCGATTTACTGCTTGCTCTACCATCTTGGCTCCCAGAAGTCCAGGTCCATGTTTTCAACACAGATATTCTTCTAATAATGGCGACAAATCATAGAATATTACAGTGTCTAAAGAATCAGAGTCAGGGATCATACAAAGGGCTATGGAGAAATTCATGGAGGGATTGAGCAACTTGAAACACATTATATATGAGGAGTTAACCCAGGAGAAGGGGGTGACATAAGAGATAGAGAATGTCATCAGAGAAATGTATGGGTTTCTCCATATGAAAAACAGATATAAAAAAGGAGAGATGTGCATAGAGTGAGGGATAACCAGTAGACAATATTGTATAACATTTGGAATTCTTGCAATATAAGAGAAAAGCACCTAGTATTTTGTATGGACTTGTGTGGTCAATCTGTAGGAATTTAGACAAGAGTCAAACTAGAGTCACCTAGGCAGCTATGGATTATGTATTAGAGTTAGGAAGACCTGAGTTCAAATTCTGCCTCAGAAACTAGCTATGTGACCTTGGGCAAGTTTCTTAACCTCTGTCTGCTTCAATTTTCCTATCTCTAAAATGTGGGCACCTTCTTCCCAGGATTGTTGTGAGGATAAAATGAGATAATATTTCTAAAGAACTTTGCAAACTTTAAAATGCTATATATACTATCTATTTTTTTATTAAACAGGATGATTTGCATTGATGGAGTGAGTACTCACATCACTGATGTTATGATACTTGTAGTAGTGGATCCTTTATACCAACTTTGTTGCATGCCTTGGTTATATTTTGTTGCATTTAAAGTAATGGGTTATGGAGTAGTCTCGTGAGCCTAATCCCGATGGACCACACCTAATACACAAAGACATTTTAAGAGTCCTTATTTCAAGCATAAAAGAGATAGTCTCTAACAGGAAATCATAATTACTCTTCAGATCTCATAAATAAATCTCCTAAGAGGGAATTTGACCTGTGCTTTTGTTTGTGAAATTAATAACAGTAAATCACATTTATTATTTATAAATCACTTTGTGATTTATAAAGCACATTTCCTACAACCTTGAGAGGTAAGTTGTATAAATATCATTATTCCCATGTTACAATGGAGAAAACTGAGTGTTACAGTGGTTGCCAGCCTTCCTCAGTGTCTTACTCAACAGGCAAGAATATCAAGTTTATATGTGCTGTGTGTCCCTCTTTATTTTCAGCAGAGCTATTTCAAATGCACTTATTATATTAAGGGAAATACATGGAGGTTTTTTTTCTTTCATTAAAGGAAAAAGAAAGATTGAAGCAAGAAAAACGTGATGAAAAAAGATTAAATAAAGAACGTAAACTAGAGCAACGAAGATTAGAATTAGAAATGGCAAAGGAATTAAAGAAGCCTAATGAAGATATGTGCTTAGCAGACCAAAAGGTAATCTTTTCATGTTACCCTATTTAAAACATTTTATGACCTCTTCCCCATTTTCCTGCCCCCACTTTTTTTTACCTCAAATTGCCCATATGAAAATTATCCTTTTTACCTAGCTAGAAGCATTGCCCCAAAAAGCTAATGATCAGACTCTTTTAAACCAAGATATAAGGAGGCTTTATCAGGAATTCCCTTTTTTCTGAATGTTTACCTTTTAGTTTTTAATATTTTGTAGCATCTAAGGTCATCAAACCCCACTTGCCCTAGAGTCCTCCTAGAAAAGCTACCCCAGTAGTTCAGGTAGTTCAATGTGGGTCCACATCAACTCAGGAAACAGCTCATGTGCCTCCACTAATGTGTTTACTTATACTATTCAACCATAGAACACAATTCGTTCAAATCAAAGGAATTTAATGAAACGTTATAGTAAAAAATATTAATAGTACATTTCCCCCACAAACCTGGCACACAGCCCCACAAATATAAAAATCTATTGGTGAGAAGAGTGAACACATCTAGAGATGTACACAGGTAAGAATCTGTGACTTGCAAACATACTAGCATGATACATACTAGAAAATCTGTATTACTGGGGCACATGCATCCAGGGGGCACACAGATGGGAAATATGTGGGGCTAGAGCACAAACATTGTTAGGCACACATGTAGGTAACAAACGTGTGGAAGAGTAACTCTTTCATCTGATGCTCTATGGATCCTGATATCTTTGATAATATTGCTTCAATGGCGTGGTGTTGAAATAATTGGTTTCCTTTGTAATTTTCGGTGTTTGATTTTATGTATTTAAAAACATTCTTAGAAGGGATTCAGACCTAGTTCAGGAATACTACCCAAAAAACTCCTCAGACTATGTGGGTCTATCAACCATAATTTTTTTCTTCTTCCATATCCCCCTAATCCTTTGGGCCTTGACATAAAATAAAATAATCAGACACAACAGTTAAACCCAAAAGACAAGGTCATTATTTCCTTCCTCTCTGGTCATTCCTACCTTTATTACATATAGGTGGCATTCTGCAAGCTGTCCTACACTTAAATGAATGTTAATGATTATAGCATCAACCACTAATAAAGAAAAATATAGTTTCCCTTTCAGTAGTAATGTTCCAAAAACTAACATAGAAGCTACTTTGATGGATCTGTGATCTGTGATCTCATCCATTTCTATCATCAGTGTGGATGTTCCCACCGCTACAATAGATTTCATCTCAAAAATTTCTTTTCATTCTGTGTAATTTTTGTTTGTGTTCTCCCATAAATCTTCCTTAAGAAATTTTTGTGGCACGGTTGGAACTTTCTTCTAGATACTTTAAAATTTCATGAGTACCAGTGATATCCTTTGTTCTCACTACATGATCAGCCCACACCTCCTTTTCTCAACAATTATTTCCTTAATGATTTTTACACCACTTGTTACATATGGCATCCTACTTACAGTTACCATTTGTCACTTTATTGCCTTTTGGATCATCTGCAATTTTGAATCTTCAAAGATTGTATCATTTGCTGATTTGCAGCCATATGCAGTCTTATGAAGTATATTAATGTTGAAGACATAGAAGCCCCAGGACAAATATGTAGAATCATTGGATCAGAAGTTATCTGAATTGGACCTTTTCCTTTTGTTCTGGCAGGTGAATATCCAGGGCAAATAGTTAAAACTTTTCTTGAAGACTTTCCAAAAATATGACCTCCCTCATTCTTAGGTTTTGTCACACTTAAAGTTAAGCAATCCTTTTTTATATCCATCCATAATATCTCCTGCCTACTTGTTCTTGTTTGGACCTTCAAAGAAATGTAACTTTGACAAAGAAATTAAAATTTGTAAATACAACTCAGAGGAAAGCTAGATGTCATCTTGACAACTGATAGGGCTTTACATGACATTATGTAAACATCTTGTAAAAGTAGCAACTTATTGTGTCTTGGCAATAATTCACAAAGAAGTGTTTTTCTTACGACCTCAAGAGATGTGTGATCTAGGAATAGTTGATTATAATGTATCTCCTCCCGTCGTATCTTTACATGATGTTCATCTGAAATATGAATAATAATCCCTTGAATATATCAGTAGTTCCAAAGGACTATTATTTCATCAGATGTGGGCACTTACTACAACAGCATCTATCAAAACCCCTCTGCACTTCTGTAGATCTTTTAAAAAGTCACCACGTAGTAGCCAGTCTTTTGATGCTGAACCTTTCCAGATTTAGCTCATCCATGAATGACACATACGTAGTCTAACTCTGAACCAGTATGAATAATTGTTCTTGTTTACCAGGACCTGTTAGGGCCTGTGCTCTGCTATTATAGACTCCCAAGAACTGTGATAACCTCCACCTCACTCAGAGGCATAAAAAGTACACATTCCAGTTCAGCAGGCCCTGTATTTTTTTATGTTTTACTGATGTTTTTTTAGCTGTTTGGAAAGCAGTGATCCTTTAGAGCAGGGATTCTTACCCCTTTTTGTGTCACAGACCTTTGGCAGCCTGATGAAACCTATGGATCCCTTCTCAGAATAACATTTTTAAATACATAAAATCTAATAGAGGATTATCAAGAAAACCAATCATTGAAACACATTTATCAACATGTTAAAAAAAAAAGTTCACAGACTTCAGGTTAAGAACACCTGCTTTGAAGTCATATTGGAAGTTCCTGTGTGTAATGTAATATGAATAATGTGTTCTGTTACCTGCTTTTTTTAAAGGTCGCAGAATACTAGTTTTATTGCCTATAAGCTGTAATGATCAAAATCACTGCAGTATTGCTAGAAATTTCTTTTGTTACTGTCAGCTTTAGTATTCATAAAGCCAGCATCATTTTGGCCAGCTTAACTTCACTTTCTCCTGGGATCACAGGATCATCAGTGTAGCCTGTTGTCACAGATTGTGCTCAATACAAATCTAGATATTTTGTAAATGCATATCCAACCCCAAAAAAGAATGTAGATGGATTAGTTCAAATGAGTCATCACAGTTAGAATGACAGTAGCATTTGCTGTGTAGACAGATGACAGCATTTTTGTTCTCATTTACTTTGCTGGAAAATAGAGTAGTGAGTTGTTTCTCTGCTATATTTAATTCATACAATCCACATGCTATTAAAATACTGGTATCTGAACAAAAACTCCTTAGTGTTCCTTTCACAGAAGCTGAACTTCATAGCAATGACTAAGTTCTGTTCGGAATGCGTGAACTCACTGACCTATGATTTTGTCCTTCTGTTTCCAGCCTTTGCCAGAGTTACCGCGCATCCCAGGACTTGTTCTCTCTGGAAGTACATTTTCAGATTGTCTCATGGTGGTACAGTTCTTAAGAAATTTTGGTAAAGTTCTAGGCTTTGATGTGAACATTGATGTCCCGAACCTGAGTGTTCTTCAAGAGGGATTACTCAATATTGGAGATAGCATGGGTGAAGTACAGGACTTACTTGTAAGGCTCCTCTCTGCTGCTGTCTGTGATCCAGGCCTAATAACAGGATACAAGGTAAACACACATGCACACACGCACAAAATCCTTAAAAATTTTAACCATCAATTTAAATTGATTACTTTTTTGTGCTTTTAGCAACTTTAGATTATGTGGATTGAATAAGTAACTATTTTGGTTAGCTCCTATAACTCTTAAGACTGTGTCATAGAAAGTTATGTATTACATGCTAAATAACTATTAGAATTACTTGATGTCTGAATCCAGACAAGGCTGTTCTAGAGCTTTTAAGGAGGGCAGTGGTTCTGCAGGAGGCCTTTGCTGGCCCCCATCCAACACCTTCTGTACCCCCCTCCCCCCAGTCCCTTTCCTCTGAAATAACTTTAATTAACACTATACATACATACATAAATACATGTATACACACACAGAGTATATATACATAGTTATTTTCATGTTGTCTTACACATTTTAGGGAGAGGTGTGAGGCAGTTGGGGTTAAGTGATGTGCCCAGGGTCACACAGCTAGTAAGTGTCAAGTGTCTGAAGTCAGATTTGAATTCAGGTCCTCCTGACTCCAGGGTCGGTGCTCTATCCACTTCACCACCCAGCTGCCCCTGTCTCAACCATTTCAATGTGAATTTCTGCGTAGAAAGAACCATGTTATTTTTTTCTTTCTTTGTTTGTATGTCCAGCATTCATCATAGTTTCTGACACATAGTAAGCATTTCTAATAAATGTTTGTTGGATGAATAACTGCCTCTAACTCATGTGCTGAACCCACACACCCCTACATTTTCACATTCCCCAGACCCAAGCCCAAGCCGCCTTCTCTGCTGCAAGCCTTGGGGGGAGTTAAGAAGAAAATGAGGGGCTGGGGGAGAAAGGGACATGTAATAAATGGGTCTAGATTCAGATTGCCTGGAAACCTTCTTTCAGTCTGGTGCAGTTCTTCACAGGAAAGAACAGTGTTCTATGAGCCAAAAAATAAAATGAAATTAAAAAAAATTAAGAACTACTGATATGGAATCCTGACTAGGTAATTCTAATTGCTATGACCTCTATGCTATGTTGGTATGAGGATAAATGCAAGTGGTGCTAGACCCAACTATAGCTTTTATACCCTCTAATTCAATTAGCACTCTTGGGATGATCTATAATTAGTCTGGGTTCTCTTTGAATAATTGGGGTAATCCAGACACCCATGGGCCCTGCATAAGATTTGAAGAAAAGCATTATTAATTGGGACCTGACTTCTGGGATTCAGCAAGAACCATAACAACCTCAGGTACATGTAATTTATATAACATCTATGGAATTGACCACATTTTAAAGTGGTGGCACAACATGTTTGGTTGTATCCCAAACTCCAGTTAAGCAACATCTTAACATTCCAATATAATCCATATGTTCTAATATTTTCAGCTATGAATGATATTCTGAAAAGAAGGAGAATCTAGAGGACAGATTTCCTTTTGACCCATCCATTCATCTGTTACTTCTTTAAAGACCAGATGGGCAGTGGAGACGTCAGAGAATAGCACATGCCTGGCAAGTGCCAGTATCCACACCTAGGACAATAGAAAATATAGGAACTTGATATGGTTGCTATGAGTAATTAAAAGTGAATCCAGAAATCCACACATGGGAAGGTTTCTCACCTCTGCCTAATGAAGCATGTGAGTGCTCTCACATAAATACAAACATAGGGTGCAGAAAAGGCACAGGTACTACTAGACTGTTCTCATTTCCTGCTTTCCCCTATACCTCAGTCCCATCAAGAACATGTGGTCCCTATCCAAAATATATGTTATGATTCTAGTATTTTCACCCTGATGTGTTTATTGAAAAAGGTTATGTTTTTAAATGGCTATGAATAATAAAAAAACTTATTTTTTATTAAACTTTTACAGGCCAAAACAACTCTTGGGGAACATTTACTGAATGTTGGTGTTAACCGGGACAATGTTTCTGAGATCCTGCAGATTTTTATGGAAGCCCATTGCGGACAAACTGAACTTACAGAAAGCCTCAAGACAAAAGCTTTTCAGGCACACACTCCGGCTCAGAAAGCTTCAGTACTTGCTTTCCTTATTAATGAGCTAGCATGTAGCAAGAGTGTTGTAAGGTGAGAGTATCCTAACCACTTTCCTATAATTTTACAATCCATTATATTGGTTATTTCTTGTATTTCTTCTTTGACATTTATAGTGACTTGTAGGGGTTTTAAAAAAATGTGGATTAAAATTAAATGATGTTTAGTATGGACTAACTATATAAAATTTTTTGTAATTTCATATTTCTGCTTAAGTTAATTGTGAACACTGACCATTCTAAGAACCATCTTTCATTATTAGCAGATATGACAACTGTACCTCTTGTCTCTTCACTTCTTAATTCCTTGATGTTTTATGAGACCTAATGACCGTAATTATCCTCCCATGGAGCATTTTCAATTGCAACTGTGGGTGTTCTCCTAAAATTGTCAAACAGGCTAGATATAAACAATCTATTTAATAGATCTACATATTTATCTATTATATCTATATATCTATTATGTAGTCATAGTAACAAGTTTGTACTATAACTATGCTAATTATTGATAACTTGGATTTATGCTTTGTTAAGATAAATAAAGGAAAGCTTTATTAGGCAGTGGGCCCCAAATATTCCATTTCCTGGGAATTGCCAATGTGAAATGTGAGTCATAAGTTCTGAAACATGGGAATTCCCTTGCTGAAACAGACCTGTGGTCCATTTAGAACAGTACTCTTTTGCTAACACCATCATGTAATACTCCATAGCTAAAACCTAATGATTTTCTACCTTGACATCATACTTCAAGTTTATATAATTTTTCTAATTAGGCATTTATGGTTCTGTCATTTAAAAGTTTGTTTGAACCATTTTTAATCCATTTGTATTTTGCCATTGCCACTAATTTATAGTAAGCAATTGCATTCATTCATTATCATTATTATAATATTTAACATAATATTATTATGCTAAATATTAGTTCCTTTTGCTTGTTCGACATTTCTCAAATTTCAAAGAGCACTTCTTCACCTTAATGTTTCATGCTTAGTGGCCAAGTTCCTATTCACCTTATCTTTTCCATTCATGATTTTTAGATTACAGTCATGTCCCATCCCCCATCCTTTGGTTTCCTGGCAAAAGATAATATCAAAGTATGCAGGGCTAAGTATAAATATCACTTTTTATGAGTCTAAACTTTTATGTAAATACATTCTCAGCCACACTTTTGCATTATCATAGTTTTTCATCTATTCGTGATACCTTTGGACAATTATCTGAGCTTAGCACAGTTCCTGGCACATAGTGGGTATTATACAAATGACCCTTATTTCTAGTGTAGTGTCTCATGTTATAAGTGACAGCAACTTAAATTCCTGAGAATGTACAAACTGTATATTTTCATATAGAAATCTTTTCATTCAACAGACAATTCTGTGTCTGACAGTTGCTTAATAGCTGGTGATAATACTGTAATACTGAATAGAAATTGAAAAATGAATAGTTTCATTGACGCTATGGGCATTTGTAATCAGATGCATTAAGGCTTTTACCCAAGAAGGAGAAGGGTGTAACTTATTATTTTACCATCATTGCCATTGCTTATTGCAAAATTCTAGGCTTGAGTTTAAGTATGTAAATACATTTAAGAATTGACGACTTCTGGGGCAGCTAGGTGGCACAGTGGATAGAGCACCGGCCCTGGATTCAAGAGGACCTGAGTTCAAATCCGGCCTCAGACACATAACACTTACTAGCTGTGTGACCCTGGGCAAGTCACTTAACCCCGTTGCCTAGACCAAAAACAAAACAAAACAAAAACAGAAACAGAAAACAAACTAGAATTGACAACTTCTGATAGCACAAATTTTATACTACATCATGATGGTGCATAAGAACACATCTGTGTGTGTGTGTGTGTGTGTGTGTGTGTGTCTGTGTGTGTCTGTGTGTGTGTCTGTGTGCATGGATAGAAACTGGACTTGTGATTTCATTGATATAGGGAACACTTGGAATTTCCAAGAATATTGAGATATTAAGTGACTTGCCTAGGGTCATACAGTCATTATGTTCTGAGGTAGAATTTGAACTCAGGTTGTCTGGCATCTAAGGCTAGCTCTCAATATAAATTTAGTTTTAAGAAGGGTCTGGACATGTGGTCTCAACAGTGTGGGGAACTCCCAATGTGGAAACTCTTTCCACCAATACAGATCATCAACTCCTTTGTTACTAATGAGAATTGGCACAGGGTACTGAGAGCTAGTATGAATGAGAGACAGCATTTGAACAGAGATCTTATTTATTACTTCAAGACTGACCCTTTATCCCACGATAGCATGCTGCCTCTCAGCATTCAATATTGAAGTATATCTAGGACATGTATATATGTACATATATACACACAAATGTGTCATTACACATATATTTATGCATTTTGTCAGAAGTTAGAAATTTTTATACACAGGAAAATAGTAATGTTTCATATCGTGCTCCTAATTTTTTATGTTGGCAGTGAAATTGACAAGAATATTGATTATATGTCAAACTTAAGGAGAGACAAATGGATGGTAGAAGGTAAACTTCGAAAGTAAGTTGTATTTCCTTAAAATTAATATTTTGAGTTTTTATGCAAACTTCAATGTGAGCAGTAAATCACTGTTAGAATTCAACTGGCTCACTTTGATATAAAGAAATAGAAATGCTTAATTTAAATGAGACATAAAATAAAGATAGCCAAAATTCAGGAATTATTATTATACGTAAATAATTGTATGATTAAATGAGATCATATAACCATAGATTTAGAGCTGGAAAGGATGTTTCTTATAGGTCACCTCATTCAACTCTTCATTTTAAAGATAGGAAAACTGAGGCCCAGAGAGATAAAATACTTGCCTACGGTCATGAAAATATTTATTAAATCGTAGTAATAGGCATTTAACTCAAATCATCTGAGTACAAATCTAATCCTTTCCAATGGGCCACTTCCTATATCTACTAATATTGGCCTTCCTGTCTTTAAATTCTTTTTAAAAAGTTAATTTCACGTTTTAAAGTTTTGGGAGCTTTGCAGTTCCTTTTGACAGGAGTATTATCTCCTTATACCAATTACATTTACTTATTTTTCTCATTGTTTTGCATTTTAAGTTTATTTTTGAGTGGTGCTATCAAAGTTCAAATTTAATTTAAAATTATAACTTAATTTTCCACCTCATTATTAATGTAATGTTAGAAATACTATTCTCATTATCTTAAAAAGATAGCTCCTCTGCAGTAACTAAAGGGAAAATTATTTCTTATTATAGAATAATAATATATAATCAGAATGATAATATAGAATGGGAGTTAGTTTGCTGCTACTTTTTCATTATTATAATTAGGGCCTTACAGAATTCTCATCTGTTTTATAATGTTCCTGACAGATAAAATTTGTTATGTTTTTAATATGTTTTAATTCAGTAAGTGATATACCTCAAACAATAATGAATTTTAAATAAGAAAATAATATCTATTGGTTATTTTCCAGTTCTTCATTTTCCATTCATCTAATTTGTAGTTGTAAATTATTTATTCCTAACTATGAGATAAGTACATAGAGATGAATATCTTAAACAAATGGCTTACACTCTATTGAGTTTTCAGATAGGTTTGCTCTTAGATAATGCTGATTTTTTTTTTTTTACATTTAAAGACTCAGAATCATTCATGCTAAGAAAACAGGGAAAAGAGACACCACAGGTGGAGGTGAACTGGGAGAAGAACCACATTCTTTAGGTACACCCACTACTGGACGCAAGCGAAGACGGAAAGGGGGAGATAGTGACGATGATGATGACGATGATGATGATAGTGATGACCAAGCTGATGAAGAGGATGAAGATGAAGAAGATAAAGATGACAAAAAAGGAAAGAAAATAGATCTCTGTGATGATGAGGTAATAAAATTTAAATTCATTATATTATATAAATATTTATATATTATATTAATATATTAAAATTTTTAATTTAAAAATATTTAAATATAAAATAAAATATATAAACACCACATTATATAAATGTGCTAGTAATTCTTTTTATGTAACTCTGTGAGCATTTGTTATAGAACTCCCCAGATCTGCCTTTTGTTTTATTAACATAAATTATGATTATTTTTGAATAGCACTTCATACTTTTCAAAGTATTGTCACATATATGCTGTCATTGTTATCACAGATGATCTCTAGGGCAGGAAGGCAACAACTCCTGACCATAGTTCTAACTCAGATGTCAATATGTCTCCTACTCTGAGGCTGCCTATCTATAGACAATGTATAAAAATAGGGGAATTATTCATCTCTCAACTAGTGTTTAAGATGTTGTATAATACAACTTGGTGGTTAGCTTGTGGTTTTTGTTGGTAGTGGTGCTGGTTTTTGTTTTAAGAAATAAGAGAGCCTGGGTAAATCATCTTTGTGGCAAAACAGTTCAGTTCTGGGTAGGGGGTTCCATTTACCTGGGTTGCTTTCTCTTTTATGTGCTTTCCAAGTAAAAGACTTGTTTGGCGCTGTACTGGGAAGTGAACCAGTGAACTCACCAGGGTCAGGAATCACAGAGAAGAGCCCTTAACACATACAGTGTTCTGAGATGGAGCAAGGAGAAACTAGCATATGAGAAACCCCACTCTCCTAGAAATCATCTGTCTCATCAGAACTGGCATTTTGGAAAGTGGGCCTCAGTAGTCCAGAAAACATCCAACCAAGGGTGGGATGAGGAAGTGGGAGGGAGGATGAGGAAGTAGAAGGAAAGGAAGAGAAGGGTATAGAAAAGGCATCACTATAGATTACAAAGTTTTGTTTTACTAATTAATTACATAGTTCTGAGGAATTTCATCACAAGAAATCTCAGCATTGAACTAGACTGTGCCCCTCCTGATGAACGAATCCCTGAGTAAGTTGTCATGGTTTGAAGAAACTCTAGTGTGTAAGCAAATGGCTTTACTAACCAGGCAGGGAGGAGTTGCTCAAGATGAACGGTTTTGAGAACAGTCAGTACAGTCAGCAGGGTATATTTGGGTTACAGCTGCTCCAACAACCCAAATTCTACTTAAGTTAGTGCTCAAATTCCCTCCCTGAACCTGGTTCCCACTGGGATTCTACATTCCTTCTCAAGACTCCGTGTTGGAATCTTGAGTCAGATTAGCTAAGAGAATGAAACCAACCACTATCCTACTCAGAGTCCAGTTGAGGGGTCTTGCTTACAAAGGTGACAAGTACACATTAGGGATTTTTTGAGCACTGTATTTGTTTGAAGAGGTGAAGGATAGAGAAAGAGAGAAGGCAAAAGAGTCTAAATCACTCCTTGGCTAACGTTGGGCCTGTTTTCAGAGATAGGTTTTATTCCCCTAGCCTTGACTGGCCTCCAAGGGAGTTTCTCAGGGACTAGGTTATCTGGAGTTTTTAAAGAGCTTCATGGCAAAATAAAGAATAAAAGTGCAATGTTTGTTCATGGGTTCAATTTCAGAATTAAGGTAACCCTCGAGATAATCTCCAGATTCCAAATCACACTGTAAGCACACTAAACAGTTAACATTCCCTGAAGGACTTTATTGTTGCATACTTCATTTATTTGGGATGTCTTGTACCTGTGAGTTGGACCAGCAAACAATTACTGATGTATGTGTACTTTTATAAATTTTCTAGCAAGCAATGTCATTTCATTTATATTCACAAAGGAGGTATTGCACTTGCATGTGCAAAAATCTTAAATAGTAAATATATTCTTAAGGGAAGGGTCATAGCCACAAACCATATATTCAGTAGGCTCTGACATAACTATGCATTTTCTAATCTACTATGTAAAACTGAATAAAAATGAATTCGTTTAGGAACCGTGATGCAAAAGAGAAGAGGCAATAATTAGAATACCGAGGTTTGAATTCTAGCTCAGCTTATTAGTGGTTAAGTAATGTCAGGTAAGTTAAGTAAGTTAGGTGGTTAAGTAATGTCACAACCCCTCTGGAGCTCAGTTGCCTCATTTGTAAAATGAATACATTACTGGATCAGGAAGCAATATGCAGGGAATGCTGCCAACAACCTTCCTTTCTGTAACCTTAACTTTTTTATGGTAGTTAAATAATCTTTTATTTTGTAATGTATAATGATTTATCATTTCTGTAGCAGCTTACTACCCCCAAATGCCACCATTGAAAAATTATTTTGCTTTGACAAGTGATGTATTATTATAGAAAACAAAAATCACCTTTTGATCAACACCAAATCATCTCTTTGTAGAATTAACAATTCTATTTATTTTTAAATTTTATTTGTTTTTAGTTTTCAACATTCAGTTCCATAAGATTTTGAGTTCCAGATTTTCTCACCCTTCCTTCTCTTCCTCCCCTCCCTCTACCCCAAGACAGCATGCCATCTAATATAGGCTTTACGTACACATTCATGTTAAACACATTTTCACATTAGTCGTGTTGTAAAGAAGAATTAGAAACAATGAGAGGAACAACAAGAAAGAAGAAACAAGACAAAATAACAACAAAAAAGAGCAAATAATATGTTTCCATCTGTATTCAGACTCCAAAGTTCGTTCTCTGGATGCGGATAGCATTTTCTATCATGAGTCTTTTGGTATGGTCTTAGATCCTTGCATTGCTAAGTCTATCAAAGTTAATCATCACACAACGTTGCTGTTATTGTGTTCTGGTTCTGCTCACTTTGCTCAGCATCAATCCATACAAGTCTTTTCAGGTTTTTCTGAAGTCAGCTTGCTCATCATTTCTTATTACACAATAGTATTCCATTATATTCATATACCACAACTTGTTCAGTCATTCCCCAATTGATGGGCATCCCCTCAATTTCTAATTCCTTGACACCACAAAAAGAGCTGCTATAAATATTTTTGTAGATATGGGTCCTTTTCCCATTTTTATGATCTCTTTGGGATATAGACCAAGAAGTGATATTGCTGGGTCAAAGGATATGCACAGTTTAATAGCCCTTTGGGCATAGTTCCAAATTGCTTTCCAGAATGGTTGGATTAGTTCACAACTCCACCAACAGTGCATTAGGGTTCCAATTTTCCCACATCTTCTCCAATATTTATCATTTTTTGTTTTGTCATGTTAATCAATCTGGTAGGTGTGATGTGGTACCTCAGAGTACCACATTTCTCTAATAGTGATTTAGACAATTTTTATATGATTATAGATAGCTTTAATTTCTTTATCTGAAAACTGCCTGTTCATATCCTTTGATCATTTATCAATTGGAGAACCAATTGTAATCTTATAAATTTTCTCTATGTATTTTAGAAATGAGGCCTTTATCTGAGACACTGGCTATAAAAATTGTTTCCCAGCTTTCTGCTTCCCTCCTAATCTTGGTTGCATTGGCTTTGTTTGTGCAAAAAAATGTTCAATTTAATGTAATCAAAATCATCCACTTTGCATTTCATAATGTTCTCTGTCTCTTGCTTGGTCATGAATTCTTCCGTTCTTCATAAATCTGACAGGTAAACTATTCCTTGCTCTCCTAGTTTGCTTATGGTATCAGCCTTTACATCTAAATTGCGTACCCATTTTGACTTTATCTTGGCATATGGTGTAAGATATTGGTCTATGCCTAGTTTCTGGCATACTGTCTTCCAGTTTTCCTAGCAGTTTTTGTTAAATAGTGAGTTCTTATCCCAGAAACTGTAGTGTTTGAATTTATCAAGCAGTAAGCTTCTATAGTCATATAAGTACACTACAGTCACTATATAACACGTAGTCATATAGTATACAATGTGTCTTTTGTACCTAATCTATTCCACTGATACACCACTCTATTTCTTATCCACTACTAAGTAGTTTTGATGATTACTGCCTTATATTACAATTTAAGATCTGATATGGCTAGACCACCGTCCCTTGCATTTCTTTTTATTAATTCCCTTGATATTCTGGACCTTTTGTTCCTCCAGATAAATTTGATTATTATTTTTTCTAGCTCTATAAATAATTTTTGGTAGTTTGATGGGTATGGCACTGAAAAGTAAATTAATTTAGGTAGAATTGTCATTTTATTATATTAGCTCAGCTTACACATGAGCAGCTGATGTTTTTCCAAGTATTTAGATCTGACTTTATTTGTGAACAATTCTCTTTCTTCATAATTTAGTGGTACATATGCTTGCTGTCCTACCATCTTTTAACTTGTAGCATTTTCTTTTTTATTATGAAGTTAATCATCAGTATAACTATTTAGATACACAAACAAGGAGAAATCAAGATGAATAAGAAGGAAAGGATGACTTCTAGAGTTTGATCCTGGAAGAGGGAGGAGATAATGGGATCAAGGGTAGAAGTAATGAGATTACCTTCAGTGGGAGAGCAAGAGGGACAAGAGGGAAGGAAAGAGTGTTCTAATGCTGATAATTTTTGAGAAATTGAGGAGGGGGACTGAGGAAGTTCACTTTGGAATCATCCTTTTATCTCAGAGGCACAATCCTTTTTTTTCAGGCTTTTTTTTTTAAACACTGGGCTTCAGAAACTGCAAACTTTATCCATTACATGCGTTTGGTTCTTTTTTTAGGCAATTGGGGTCAAGTGACTCACCCAGGGTCCCACAGCTAGTAAGCATCAAGTGTTTGGTCTGAGGCCGGATTTGAACTCAGGTCCTCCTGATTTCAGGGCCGTGCTCTATCCATTGCACCACCTAGCTGCCCCCATGAGTTTGGTTCTTTAACAAATCAATGATAATATTTCTCAGAGAATATTTGTTATTTAAAGTAGTTTTGTAGTTTCTTATGATTTTATAAGTAAAACTAAAAAAATCTGTCCAATTGCTATCAATCAGAATTTTGTTATATCTTTGTGCCAACATGGGGAAAAACATACTTTGAATCCTGCTTAAAGGTATAGCAAACATCTAGGTCAAGCTAACATATCCTTTATGTTTTATGTGAGTTATTTTTAAAGCAAAAGCTGATAGCCACTTCCATAGGTGACTTTTGGTAACTGACTCCTGCTAATAGAAGAAAGCAGGGATTAAAAGACTTTTAAGACCCAAAAAAATAGTATTTATGATGCACTTCCCTGTTTTTCTTCCTAGTCCATATAAAATGAAATTTCTGAAGTAACACCTTACACATAAAAAATGTACAGTAATATTTGTTAAAAATTAACAAAAGCCCATTGGTGATGCAAGAATTCACTTTTGCCAAAATTCCAACTCTTAGCTTAATAAAGCCTTTTGCTGCAGTAGCAAAACAAATCCAAATCATCTTCCTGGACTTTTCGCTTTCATTTTATTTTCCAACACTTATTTTTTTCAAATGTATTTGCTAGCAAACATTGTGGTGATGGAAATGAAATTACAAAACAGATAAAGAAAATCAAAGGTCATGGGTTGTACATAGGCTTGATAAGCAGCTCCTCAGTAAATCAAGAATTTACTGTACCAAATATTCATTATTGTGGCTTGCATCACTCTGTGTCAGATTGACTTAACTGCTCCTAGCCATATGAATCTGACCATAATATTAGCTATGAATGTACTAGCAATGTATGATTTTTAGAGCAATCTACCATTGCTTCCTAATATTTTCTCTCTTTTTTAATCATCTTCCTACCTATGTGCTGATGGCCATTTTAGAATAGGATGTAAAAGGTTTGGTGAAAAAGGTAATAGCCTTTTACTGAATTTGATGAAGTACTGAAAAGACATGTTGGCCTTTGGAGAACATTCAGGGTATGCAGGTTGATTGGTATGGTATGTTGTCTAAAGTACTGGACCTGGATTAATAAGACCTCAGAACCCCACTTCAGAACCTATTGGCGGGACCATGAACAAGTCACTGAAACTTATTTTCTTCATCTGTGAAATGAAGATAACAATAGTTTTACAGTTGTTGTATGGCTCCAGTAAGATAATATGTGTAAAGCACTTCGAAATTAAAGTTCTACATGTGTTAGTTTTTTGTCATTTTATTATTATTATGTATGTTATTACGTATTCCTTCTTTCCTCCTTACATGTGTATTACACATTTTGTTAAGAAGTATGATAAAAATGGAAATACTCTGTGTAAGTGTTTTTATTTAAAATATATAAGAGAGAATGATTTTCTGAAAGAAAATCTTCTAAAGAAGAAAAAAAAACTTATGGGGGGAATACTTTATAATTTCCAACATGAACATTTTTATAATTCTACATAAAAGTTTTATATTTATAGGATAAGCACAAAGTTCAGCATTCTTTTTTATTTTGAGAAAGATAAATAACACTTTATTTTGTTATAGGATGATGGTGATCAAGCAGCAAGTGTTGAAGAGCTGGAGAAACAGATTGAAAAACTGACTAAAGTAAGCACTTTTCAAATAAAGTTTTTCTCTTTTTCAAGTTGTAATTGTGTAGAATTACCATTTCTGCATGCTAAATAAAGATATATAAAGCTCATTCCTTTTGAATAATGGAAATGGCTGACTATAAAAAAAGTATTCAAACATTTTAAATACAGGAAGTTTTAAACCCATGACTGAAATTCATACATGAGATATGATGTCACAATCTCAAGGTTATTCAGCTGCAAATGATACTAAATGTAAAAAACTGCAAACATAAAGTACACTTTTAATCCACAAAAAGCCACATTTGTTTTTTGCTATTTTTTTATATAGGCTCAAAATATTTATAAAGATAGCTTTATTCCTTGGAAATTAACACCATACAAATGCTATGAAATATTAAGTACTATTGCATATTAATGAATTTAATAGCTTCTATTATATTTTCCATTTATTTATCTATGAATTTTACTTCCTCCTGAATTTAGAATTTGATCTATTTAATTTCAGCTTCTGTAGTATATTGAATACTAAGTTGAGCCAAGTTTAAAATGTAAGAATAAAGTATTGGCTTATTAAATATTGATCATATGAAATTGGCCAACTCAGTAAAATACTAGTTTATATATAGACATTGCTGATATCATTGCTGTTTAATTTAGCTAAAATTCTACCATTTTCTCATAGGAGTTCTGTATTACAGTGCTTCAGCTAGCTTTAACTCGCCATGTACACATTTTTCTATTGCATAATTAATAAGATTTTAACTGCCTTGCCTCAATAAAATATTTGATCCTCTTATTTATATATTTATATATATATAGATATATATGTACATATATATATTCAAATATGAAAAATGCCTTACAGGATATTTGCTTAAATTAAACCAATCTTTTTAATATTAAAAAGGACCAAGTCAGTCATTTAAAAGTAATTGCTTTCTTTAAGAGGTGATTGATAATGAAACTCAACTAAAATTGGGCAACCCTAACACTTTGATTCAGTTCCCCTGTTACTTTGTTTGCCAGTTTCAATGCAATAAGTAATCATTAATCTTTATTTTGATTTTAAAAACAATTGACTTTCATAATATTATATTTACACATGTAATTTTTTTTTTAAAAAAAAACAGCAACAGAGTCAGTACAGAAGGAAGCTCTTTGATGCTTCTCACTCTTTACGGTCAATGATGTTTGGCCAGGATCGTTATCGACGCAGATACTGGATTCTTCCCCAGTGTGGGGGTATTTTTGTGGAAGGCATGGAAAGTGGTGAAGGTAGGAGACATTAGCCTATTTGAGAACAGCCAAAGCAATAGTTATATTAATATAAGCTGGTAATTTCTTTAATCTCTATCATTGTTTTAGGATCACCAATATCTCATACTTCTTGGAACAGCTTTATTAAGCTGTCTGTACCCCAGATACTTTACTTTCCAAAAATAAGGAACCTTGTTTCCATACTTATTCATTTCCTGTCTGCTCTATTCTCTTCTTTTCTCCTGACTGCTTTCAAACATACCCTCATTACCCCCATTTTAAAAAATAGTGTTACCCATTTTAGATCTCATTTTCCTTTCACTCCCAACTTCTCAGGTATTTGTTCTATACCATTTACTTTCATTCCCTCAACCATTTATTCTTTCAGTCCTCCTCTGCAATTTGGTTTCCATTCCAATTGTTCTACTGAAAGTGCTTGCCCCAAGATCACTAGTGCTCATGCCAACTATTTACCTTTTCACAGTCTTTTGTGTTTGATACTGTTGTCTTCCCTCACAGTTGGTCAATCAACAAGCATTCTGCTACCTGCTCAGGATACTAGTACCAAAGTAAAATAGTCCCTGCCCTTAAGGAGCTTGCATGTTAGCCGCTCCTTATCCAGATTTTCTCTTCTGTTTGCCTCTATGGTATCATATTATCTTAGTTCTCTGGTTTCTCTGACCATTCCTTTCCTGTCTTCCTTTCATTCTCCCACTCCCTAACTATGGACATTAACCAGTACTGAGTCTTTAACCCTTTGTTTTCCTCAGTTTTTACAGTATTTCCCTCAGAGAATGTATCTAACCTAATGGCTTTAATTATCACTTAGTTATTTGATTTAGAGCTGGAAGGGATGTTAGAGATATTTATTCTAGTCCCCTCACTTAAAAGAAACTGAAGTCTGAAGAAATTAAGCACCTTGCCCAAGGTGACTGAGCTACTAAATATCAAAGTTTGAATTTGAACCCAAGTACTTTAACCCAAATCTAGTGCTTCTTTTAATATATCACCAAGACTTCTGATTTCCAATCAAATGTTCTTTTCACTATATGAAGCAATGTTAGTGATTGTAGATGGACATGTGGGAATTAAGCTGAACTTTGATAGGAAAATGAGATTCAAATAGGTTAAGAATAAGGCAGATAACAGATACCATTGGAGGGAGGCCTAGGAAAGCCCAGACATAAGCAAAGCTTAAGAGGTCAGAATATGAAGGGCATGTTTAGAATCAGGATGGAGATAGGTTTGGCTACAATGAGCTTTCATTTTGTGTAATGCCTTCATTTTGCAGATGAGGAATGTAAGACCCAGGGACTTTAGGAAATGTAAAAAGAATTTTCACAGCAAATATATATTACACATTGTCATTTTCATTCTTTTTTTGGAATACACTTATAAAAGTATTTCCTTTTGCAGAGTTTCAATTTTAGGGTTTGCTTTTTCATATTTAAGGATAGCTTAATATTTGGAGCAAAATACTCCCTACACAAAGTAAACTTATATTTTAGTTGGTAAGTTAAGACATACACATAATAAATAGTGTAGATAATACATAATACAATGTTAATTTTGTAATAAAGGCAATTGGAAGAATAGAATTAATAAGATGTGAATTATGTTGTATAGACAAGTGTAAAAGGAAGCAACGAAAAGCAACTGGTTAGCAACCGCAAAGAAATAAATAATACAGGACATTGTTATTATTATACACTATATCCATAAGTACTTTCTTCCTAGTATTTAGAGCTATCATGAAGACAAGACTGATTTTAATAAAATACTATTGGGTCAAGCATCCCCTGTTAGCTAGTGATTTGAAATGTATATTTATAACTAAATTCTATCTCCCCTTGAGAAGCTACCATTATAATTTTTTGTTGTACTTATTTGAGATTTCAAAGATTGCAGCTCATACAACATTATCAGGAGGTTTTAAAATTTAAAACACAAGTGAAGACCTTAGTTATCTGAAACTATTCAGCTGCAGTAATTGACATGGAAATTAATCAAAAAAATGGCTGCCATACTGTTCCATCTTTTCCTGGTCCTCACTTTTTGCCTCTTTTTAATGAAGATATTTATTAATTACTGATCATTGACACATGCCATTGAAGGTAAGAAGAAGGAAAAAAGGCAAAAAGAAGAAAGTAACATGAGTTTTTTTTTTCAGACTTAAAGAACCTTTCCTGCACTGAAGATACCAGTTAAATTTTCAGCATATTCTTTTTAAAATTATTTTTAAAAGCTTAAAAGTGGTTCCAACTGCTTATAATTAAGCTTTTCTGCTAAAGAGTGAAAATTAAAAGCAGCCATGAGCAAATGCAACTAAAATCCATCATCAGTTCAGTCTCTTTCATTATAAACAAATGAGAGATTAGTGTTATGTTTCAGCAATCTACAAGTAACACCACGACGTGCTATAATTAGATAGATAGATAGATCAATCATGCAGAATGGATAGGGTCTGCAGATTACCACTGATCAGTGGAAAGTATAGCTTGAGGGTGTTTTCAAGTACAAATGTAAATCTATAAAGAGAAAATATAAAGTGTGGAAGAAAAGGAAGTCTCAGTCTCTCATAAAGTGATTAGGAAAAGTAGAGGTCTATTAGAAATGTGGATAATTAGATAATTGAGATAGAAGTTATTTTCAGTACATCAAGGATCAGTGATATTATGTAGGTGTGGGAACTTGGTCTATTTAGGCAGATCACAAGTCATCTAATTCTAATTTAGATAACTGTTAAAGCATTGCCTGATGCTTGTCTGTGGGTCGTCAGTGCCAGGAGAGTCAGAGGCATGACTGGGGTCAAGGTGTCCCTGATTCCATTTTGGCACTTAATCTACTACCCCATGATGTTTCTAGATAAATTATGGCATGGGGCAGGGGTAAGTACTGGGGAGAAGGGATTAAGTCAAACTAATGAGCTTTTGAGTGAGCAGGTTCAGAAATTCTACTGTCATATGAGACCTATGCCCATGTGAAGAACTCATTTCATATCTATGTCATTTTCTGTTTGAATATGTTTTAAATTTTGATCTTCTGGTGAAAGGGGCATGATCCCTTTAAAAGAAGGTATGTCAGAAGCCATACCCTAAAAATGTTGCTGGGGAGCTGTAGTCATTACTGAGTGAGTAATGAGTAAATATATGTTATTTTTGAATCTGGAATGACAGTTATAGCAGCCAAAAGGCAACAGGCTAAAAAAGAAAGGTTAGGTAGGGAAAATCTGCTTCTGATTGGGGAAAGGATAGAACAAGTAAGAAGGATGTGATGTTCTTCTTTCTTCTCAAGATTCAGTAACCCTGAGCATTCCAAGAGATGATTGGGAGCCCAAATAAAAAGACCTCAGATTTTCCTGTTTTTATCAAAATGAAGCCATAGACAAGACATACCACAGCTGTGAAAAAAGGTAGTGGACAGAATCTTTATCTCCAAGGAAAATTATGGTATAAATGTTAACAAGCCCCAAGGGTTTCATCAAATGGAAGAGAGCAGAGGAGCCAGAAGGAATATTAAGGCTATCCCTTTAATTGTGGGGTATCATCTTTTGATGGATGATATGAGATCTACAATGTGCTTTTTTTTTTCTTTCTGCTAAACTGCTTGTCAGCCCAGATACAATACCTGTGGTCAGGGTTAGTGTTATGTGGGTGTCCTTATGAGATGGTACTTTCAGAAATAGATATCAGCCAGGAGTCAGGCAGAGTAGCCAGGGAATTAAGGGAGCATAAGTTTACAAACCCCTGTTTAAGTGTTTACTATGTGCAAGTCACTGTGCTAGATGCTAGAAAAATAAAGATGAAATAAGATAGCTCTTGCTTTCAAGGAGTTTACGATCTAGTGGGAGGGAGTGAAGCTTGGAAGGTGGTATTACAAAAATGTAAATAACTATAATATAAATTACAACAGGATAATCAAGAAGCATTTATTTAGTGTCTCCTGGGTGATAAGGACATGATAATGTATGTTGAAAGTGGCAGATAAATAACCCTCCCCCAAAAAATCTTTGAATAATTAAAATAAATATCACATGAATTAAGCTACCTAACTTCGATAGACCTTTTTCATAAATCCTTTTTTTTTCCTTTTGTTGAGTTGTTCATCGTTGTTGCAATTATATCACTCTTGGTGACCCCATTTGGGGTTTTCCTGGTGAAGATACTGGAGTGGTTTGCCATCTCAGTCTCTTGTTCATTTTACCAGTGAGGAAACTGAGGCAAACAGGATTAAGTGACTTGCCCAGGGTCACACAGTTAGTAAGTGTCTGAGGCTATATTTTGAACTCAGATCTTCCTGACTCCGGGCCCTGTGCTCCATTCATTGTGCCACCTAGCTGCCATTGAGTTGTTCAGACATCCATAAATATTAAAATAAGCAGAAAAAATGGTAAAGATTTCATTGATATTTCATTTTATGTGGGTTTCATTTTCATCCCATGAAGGAAAGATCTAAAGGATTAATTTAAAAGGAAAAAAGGTTTTATGAACCTATGTAACATGCAAAAGCTTTAAAAAAATTTTTTTTAAAAACAACTCTAAAATGAAAATGCCATAAATGTTACTTCCATCCTATGGCACTCTCTATTATTCATTATGGTGACTTTTGGTCTTTCTCTTTCATATTTGCCTTTTGATCCCTCACAATTCTTTCTCCTTGTTAATATCCATTATGCCAACTCTTTGATCCCATAATAAATATAACCCATTCTTTGGAGTTTCAAGGTCCAGTGAAAGTAAAACTCTGTCATTTGTACCTTAAGCACTTCCTGGTTTTCCTTCAGCTCTCTCCTATGATCCTGCCAAGTTTGACCTTCTCTTTGTTTCCTCATTGTCTGTCAGTTTCCACAAATATTTTTGGCTCCCAAAGCCCTTGTGTAAGCCTGGAGGCTGTAGTCTAGAACAGAGCGCTGAAGCTAACTAACCCCAGAGGTGCATTATGAAGATAAGGCAACAGTGCAGGATTACTCCAGGGGCAGAGTGGATCTCTTTACTTGATCATACTCAAAGCTCCAGTTTTCATCAGGTAAAGGGTCATATTTTTGAATCCTAGAATTATAAAAAACAAATTAAGTACTTTCTAACCATGCAGAGAAAGCAAGTTCTTGTCCCTAATGAGTCCCAGTGCCCGTTAGGGACTTCTTACGTCCTTTGCCCCAGATCTCTTGAAGTGGGAATTATTCACCACTGCAGTGAGAACCTATCTAGCCCTTCTCTTTAGTGGGGGAAAACTAATCAGGTAAGATTCAAAACTTAAATGATTGATTATATCATGATTTTTAAAAATCACCAGAAGCCCCCTTTTGAAGTAGTCAGCTATCTGTAGTCATTTCACAAAGACTTATGATGTCTATATGTATGTATGCTGTAAGTTTTATTCACATAAGTATTATCACAATTCACTTCAAAGAGTATATAAAATTATTTTCTTGTGGTTGGAATATCATTGTATTAAATAATACCAGAGGGGCAAAGATGTTCCCAGTAGCTATCTTTACTTTGAGCTAAGCTTAAGGGAGAACAAATTACACACATCATATATAATTTTTATTAATAATTATCAAGGACACCATAACCACCTTTGCATACTTTTTTTCCTGTCTCTAACCTATTGACAATATTGCTTTATTTACTCATGAAATCAAGAAGAGAGGGGCTAGGTCTAATTTAAAACACAGAAGGACCAGCAATTGCATCATATGTATTTAAGCTTCCCTGAGTCATACCTTTACTATATTTAGGATCCATAAGCATGCTCTAGCAGTCCCAAATGCAGCCTAAGTGAATGACAGTTGCAATAATCTTCTGGCAAGATTGTGAACTGGAAAAGATGAATAGGAAAGGATTAGAGGTAATTCTTCACATTTAAAGATAATTAGCAAAGTTTTAACAAGTGCTCTGTGTGAATTATTTTTTGGTTGGACATATTGTAACAAGATCAACAAAGCACCTCAACTATACTTCAGATTAGAAATGTGGTTTTTTTTTTCATCAAACTGGTCATATCCCATCATGATGAACTCTCAGAGTCTATAGTAATGATCTTGGTGTTCTAGAATGTTGTAACATTACAATGTTTTATAAGATAAGTTGCTTGTCATCAGGAGTTTGAGTTTTTTGTTCTAATTTTATCTGAACCATATATTTTCGGTTTTAATGGTATTATTGGTATACTCATAACCTCTTTAATGTGGAATTGTAAGTGAACTGGTAAAAACCTATAATTTGTAGAGTAATAATGATGTTGATAAAATATAATTACAGAGGAAGTTCAAAATGTAGATGGGTCTTCACGGAATTTTTCTTTTGTGTAGGTCTAGAAGAAATTGCAAAAGAGAAAGAAAAATTGAAAAAAGCTGAAATTATACAAATCAAAGAAGAAATGTTTGAGAACTCTGATGATACATTAAACTGTTTAAATACAGGCCACTGTGAGCAAAAAGAAGATCTTAAAGAAAAAGACAACACTAATCTATTTCTCCAAAAACCTAGCTCTTTCTCCAAATTAAGCAAGTTGTTAGAAGTAGCTAAAATGCCTCCTGAGTCAGACATTATGAACCCAAAACCAAATGGTGGTGCAGCCAATGGATGCACATTGTCTTACCAAAACGGTGCAAAAAATTCTCTCTGCAGCCTTCAATCAGCAGTATCACAAAGCAACAAGGAAAAGGCAGATTCTAACCTATTTAATCCAGTCTCCAGTGGTCAAGGGAAGTTTTACAGCCCTCCATTAATTGCCAATGACCAATTGTTAAAAACCCTGACAGAAAAGAATAGACAGTGGTTCAGCCTTTTACCCAGAACGCCCTGTGATGACACTTCCCTTACCCACGCAGACGGATCTGCTGTTGCTTCACTGGTTCCTCATTCTCAGCCTCCTTCTAAATCACCTTCACCTGTTCCATCACCCCTTCTTGGGTCTTCCTCTGCACAGAATACAATGGGCCTCAGTCCATTTGCTTTATCGCCGCTTCAGGTTAGTCCCAATAGCAATAACACTCTTTTACTGTTTTGTTTTTTTACATTTTAGCCCTATCCTCACTGCATTATCAATTAAAACATTTTACTTTACCCAGTTTGAAAGCTAAAAATAGAATTAAATGACATTCTTAAAAATTTACTGGAAGTACATGTAGATTCTAAAATCAGAACATTTTCATACTCCTCAAACCTACTGCTATTTTTTCTTAAGTTATTATATATACTTATTACTAATGATGAAGTTATGAAATCTACATATAAAAAGATGATGTTTGACCATCTTCAGCTTTTGACAATTTTACTGCTTTAAGCTATGTGCTTAAATGTATATGTTGGTTACTATATAAATATGGCAAATCATTTTCAGAATTTAACAAATAATTTTGGATTTTCTATCATTTCTACTAAAGTTTCTCAATAATTTTCCAATGTTTTGGTGTTTATAGATGAAGAGTGGATTACCTATAATGGGACTTCAGTTTTGTGGATGGCCAACAGGAGTTCTCACTTCAAATGTTCCCTTTACATCTCCTTTACCTAGTCTGGGATCAGGGCTGGGATTGTCAGAAGGAAGTGGTAATCCATTCTTGACCCCAAATGTTTCTTCATGTAAAAGTGAATCACCAGTGCCACAGAATGAAAAGGCATCATCGGCTATCCCTGGAACAGTTGAAGTAGCAAAGCCAGTAGATTTTCCTAGTCCAAAACCCATTCCAGAAGGTAGGCATGTTCAGATGGTTTTTGTCCAATAATTTTGATTTTTTTATAATGTCTATAGTATACCATAGTGATCCAAATATATAGGATACCATAAAATATAGGCTGCATACCTAAAAGGGGCTCTTCCTGAAAGGAAAAAAAGGAAGAATGTTGAATAAAAACATCATAAACTGTTGTCATGTTCTATCCAGATTTTGGGGGAAAAAGGTTAAATGCAATCTGTATCTGGCTCAATATGGTAACTGGATCTCTGAATGGTTATATGTAGTTGGTAAGCCTTTTGATTTGAATTATACCAGAATATCATTCAAAATGTTTGTAAAAGATTTACATACTTATTTTGACTTAGAAATGCAGTTTGGTTGGTGGAGAATTATTGACCCAGAGGACCTAAAAGCTTTGCTTAAAGTGCTACATCTCAGGGGGATAAGGGAAAAGGCATTGCAGAAGCAAATACAGAAACACTTGGATTATATTACTCAGGCCTGCATCAAAAATAAGGATGGTATGTAAATAAATCATTTTCATTACTTTGCTTAGGAAAACCTAATTCATTTATTTAATTGAACAATCTACTGGAACATATCTTCATTCATTACCAAAAGACTGGTGTTGATGTTTAGAGTAGTTTTGCTCAGAGAAAACTGCTGACATTATCAAATTAGTATAGATTTTTTTATAATTCCTAATCATTCTCTACAGTTTATAGTTGAACAAAAGCCATACTTTAAGTAATTTGTATATAAAATCCCAGTAATTCAATGTTTACGTTGGATATGGTGAAAGTAACTATTGGGGGAGGAATCCTGCATTTATACAATTCAAAAAGTGTTCTTTTTCTTTAAAAAAAATTTCATTTTCAAATATAGTCGCTATTATTGAAATAAATGAAAATGAAGAAAACCAAGTAACTCGAGATATTGTAGAGAACTGGTCGGTGGATGAGCAAGCAATGGAGATGGACTTGACTATTCTTCAGCAGGTAGAAGATTTAGAAAGGAGAGTTGCATCAGCAAGTTTACAAGTGAAGGTAAAAGGGACTAAAAACTATTTCAAAATATTCCAATAAAGATTTATATTGTGAATAAGTACTAATTGTGAAAGAGTTTACAATGGAACTTCTACTTATGGGTTTTGTTTTCTTTATAAACAGCTATGCTAAATTAGACTTTACACTGTGTAGTTAGGTTCTGGAGGACATTATTTGGTACGTTGTATGTACATTCAAATCCATGTTGAAACATGTGGATGGTAAGTGATTTTGGAAAGGGGTAGTTTCAGTAGGATGCTGAAAACCAAAGGCAGATTTTAAGGCGTTGAGGGACAGGAGAAATTAGAGGAAGCAAGTGTAGACAATTCTTTTTAGAAGTCTATCAGTGAAGCAGAGGAGAGAGGGATTAAGAGAATCAAGGAAAGAAGTAGGTTTTTGTTTTGTTTTGTTTTAGAATAGAGAGGATCTGAGCATGTTTGTAACCGAAGCAAAAGCATCATTAGAAACAGAGACTTTACTTCAAAGTTTACTAGATTGTAAACTCTTTATGTGCAGGGAGCTTGGCTTTATTTATCTTTGTATCTCCCTCAGTGCTTACGTATGTTGTACATAGTAAGGGCCCAATAAAGGTTTTCGTAATAAATGAATGAATGATTGAGTATTTTAAGTTTAAATTGTGTCTACTACCTGACTACTACAGCTATGATGTTTAATCAAGATCAGTAATAGATACATAATAGACATATAATATAGTAGAATGATGCACTCATTTTTCTGGCATCATCAGAGAGTGTGCTATTCCAAACTTGTAATTTTTCCAAATAAAGCTTAATCCTTGAAAAAAAAAAACCTTAATCATTTTAATGGAAATTTTTTTAATGTTACACATTTACCTGCCTTTATATAGTAATACTGAACACAACATTTTATTGAAGACTCAAAGTTATTAATATGACTATTAAATTGAGGCATACCCCATATAAAGTTAACCTGACCAGCATCATTTTGATATTGTCAATAAGTTTTAAGCCAGTCATGCTTAAGTCAGGGTTCCCCTCTATAACATATTTCAGACAGTAAGTGGAGACCAGTATACCTTTGCTCCAATGTCCAGCTTTAGTTTTTGTTTTTTTACTTGTGATGTTTGATATCACAGAAATGGTAAATACATTATAAAAATAATTCCTCTGTGAGAATCATGTCCTTATCAATAGCAACCCCATTTGCACAGAAAGGCCCCAAGTTAACAACTCTAGTTGCTTCAGGAACACAAATGTAAGAAGTATGGAGGAGATGAGACCAGCCTTTTCAGACTTTTTAATCCATCTTTTGAAAGATCAGACTTTCTGGTCCATTGTCTGCTTTACTCCTGCACCAGTTTCTTGATGGAAGGCGATGGACGGGTCTCTGGCTCTGATAAATAACACTGTTCTTTCCCTAGACACACTAAGGCTCAGTATTTTTCCGATGTTCCATTCCTCTAGGGAAATGGATTGCATCTTCCTACAATATGAATACTAGGTTTGGGGTTTGTTTCTTTTTAAAATGCCCAAACATTTCTAAGAGTTGTCCTCTTTAGCTAAATTGTAAATTTGAGGTTAACTGTAAGTAGCAAACCTCAGGGGCCCTTGGAGAGTTTAAAATATTAGGTCTCCACATCTCAGAAATACAGACTCTCCAAGTTGAAAGGGACCTCAGAAGTCATCTAGGCCAACCTAAAATTTTGACAAAATACTCAAGTAGCCATCTATCCTTTCCCTGAAGATCTTTAGTGAGAGAAAAACCCATTACTCACTTAAGGCATTCAATTCTACTTTTGGATAGTTCTGATTGTTAGGAAGTTTTCCCTTAAATATATATCTTTGATCCTTGTTCTGACCAATGAGATAAAGAACAATCTAATTCCTGTTTCCATTTAATGGCCCTTTAAATACATAACAATAGCTAGCTGCTCTATATTCCGTAAGTCTTCTCTTTGCCAGGCTAAACATCCCCAGTTATTTGACATGATACTTATACAGCCCTTCACTATCCTAGTTACACTCCTCTGAACACTCCATGTTACCAATGTCCTTCCTAAGATATGGCACCCAGAACTGAACATAAGACTTTCTAGATATGGTCTGGCCAAGTCAGATTACAAGAGAGGGGCAATAACTTTCCTAATCTTGGACACTATACCTTATTTTAAACTTTCACAATGTGTAATCACACACACACTTTTTCTAATCTCAGGTGTCAGAAAACCAATTTTAAACTCTTAATGTCTAGGGATGCATTTTATAATTATACAATATTGTTGGTATAAGACTAACCTCCCCTTACGAGGTTATTTCACTTAGTCTTGTTGTCATTGTTAATCATGTTGTCATTGAATCAATTAATGATCCTAGGTGTAGGGTATGCCTATATGTACTATTTGAGCTAAATACAATGAGAAACTTAGGGGCTATCAAGGTGTCAATAGTTGTTTACTGCTACACTAACTAGCTGCAGACTTCTGATTGTTGTTGAGGCAAACAGGGTTAAGTGACTTGCCTAGTGACAACTAATAAGTGTCTGAGGCCAAATTTGAACTCAGGTCTTCCTTACTCCAGGCCCTGCACTCTTTCCACTGAGCCACCAGACTGCTGGTTGCCAGTGGCTATACCATTTGAATTCTTGTAGTTCAGAAGTGAGGAATGAAAGAATTCAGTGATCTGTAACCTATTTGATCAAAAACCTCATGCCTATACATCATGAATATCTTCTTCAGGAAAAGAATTGGAAGGATCTTCATATAGCAAGCATCAAATAACATCCCAAAGAAATGAAATTGATTACATTTTAACATATAGGAAGTGGCTTGTTACTGATATGGGAGTCAAGCTTGAACCAGCTGTCTGTATGCTGTCAGTCCACTGACTTACTTGAGCAAAGATCAAAATGATCACAAAACTAGAGAAAAGAATAAGAATGAGGAGAAATATGGCATGCATTTAAAACAATTATTGATACTAAAAATGGGAAAGTAGAAAAAGTTTTCCTGTTCTAATTCTCTTGTCAAGTATGTACCCTTTATATATATGTAGTTTATTCTTATAAAAAAAATTTTTGTAGATGGCAGGGCAGGTGTGTGGATCACTGGTAATTGCTGTTTTCTCCATTTCCTTTTTCGGTCATAACGATATCCAGATTTTTTTAATTCACTTGTCCATTTTTTAAATAGTTATTCTGTTTCATCCCTTACTCTCAGCCATCACTTCTTGTTTCTTTCAATGTTTTTCTTTAAAAAGTGGTTCCAGACACAATATTCTTGATATGAAATGACTGGTAAAAGGTTGGACTGTTATTACATTTGGACTATTATCTCCATTGATCTGAACACTACTACTACTTATGTAGCTTAAGATTGAACTGGCTGTTTTAGCAGCCATGTGTTATAATTGTCTCATACTGAATTTTGCTATTTACAAAAGTTTCTAGTTTTTCTCACAAAAAAAATTAAGCTAAATTTTTAATTCTGCAATTAGTTTTTCAAAACTAACTGCAGGATTTTACATTTATTTTTATTATATTTAATGTTCTTAGACAGTTTTTATAGTATTAAGGAATTTTTAAATCCTAATTATGTCATGAAATAGGTACAGTTCCCTTTCCAGCTTTCTGTCTTTCTACGTGATAATCATGCCTTTGGGTTTTCCAGGTTAGAAAGAAAAAATGACTTCTTGTTGGTGAACCCATACTGGCTTCTAGGGATCATTCCATTCTTTTTTATGCATATACCACATATTTAATAATCCATTCTAGATTCTTGTGATGTAAAAAGAACAGAATTCTCTTATTCTTAAACACGAAGTGGTATTGTGTATGTATCTTCAAAATTTGTAACTTCTAAAAGTGGGCACAATCCCTTTTAGGAAACTTTGGCAACTCCATGTATCTATCTGCTCTCTCTTTACTCATTTTGAGTAGTTTAACCTTAGATTTTGCATCTGAATATTGATTGTTGGGACTAAGAAGCAATTGGTACTAATGGAGGGCCCGCTAGCCTTGGATTTAGAAGACAAAGATTTGAACACTGGTTTTCTCACTGACTGCCTGAGTGACTTTGCTTAAGTCATTTAACCTCCTTGTGTCTTATTTTTATTGTCTATAAAATGTGGAATAATAACTATGCTATTCACAGGGACGTTGTGAGGATGAAATTATGTAACTTAGGTAAAGTTCTTTGCAAACTGTACAGCCTGATAAATGTAAGCAATTGATTAGTATTGTCATTCTTCTAAAGAGTTTAATCCATTTCAGTATTGCAAAGGATATACTTACGGTATTTCTAGTGACCACAAAGAGGTAAACAGAGTCCGACATTTCAAAGTGTTAAATGTGTCCTAAGCTAATTCTCTTCTGCCTAACAAAGCAGATAATATCCAGAGATTCCAGAGGAGTTTTCATTTTCATAATCCCATAAGCTTAATCAATATTTTCAACTAAAATTTTGTTTAATGCTTTATAGATTACTCTGATTATATTTTTAATACTTTTCAGAGTTGTAATGGATAGGTATTTCTTTTCACATGTTTCATTTTTGTTTTCTGGCTAGCACTAGGAAAGCACAAGGTAAAAGCTTATTAGTGATCATTAAGATTTGTTGTTGACAAAAACTCCAAGTTGTTGGTGCAGGAAATAAACTTTTTTTTTCTTGATAATATAGGGTTGGATGTGCCCAGAGCCTGCATCAGAAAGGGAAGACTTGGTATATTTTGAGCATAAGTCAGTTACTAAATTGTGCAAGGAGCATGATGGAGAGTTTACTAGAGGAGAAGAAAGCAGTGCCAGCCCTCTAGAACGGAAGAGTGACAACCCTCTAGATATAGCTGTAACCAGGCTGGCTGATTTGGAGCGGAACATAGAGCGAAGGTATCTGAAGAGCCCCTTAAGTACCACCATTCAGATCAAACTGGATAATGTGGGCACAGTTACTGTCCCTGCTCCTGCACCATCCATTAGTGGTGATGGTGACGGGTAGGTTATTGAGATTAACTTGAAAAATTATTGTGCTTCTTTGCTAATTGGAGCCTATTTTCTATTGCCTGTTATCTATGTATCTTCTTGTATGTCTGTGATCCATATGGATCATGCTATTCTGCATGATGCTTTGTAAAGATATTTTTTGTTATGTTTGTTGATTATCCTGCAAAGTGATCTTACATTTACCTGGTTGTGACTAAGCTTTGAGGCACGTAGCCACAGTCTGTGCACTACATCAAATTTAGTTGCTTAAACCTTATACTTATTGGCTGTATACGTGTTTTTGTCATTGCTTGGCTTTCAGTGTGATGATGATTGTTTCACATTCAAAACCCAGTAAATATGGATATGACCTACTTAATTTCTCTATATTTCAATGCAGAATTGAAGAGGATATTGCTCCAGGGCTCAGGGTATGGAGAAGGGCATTATCAGAAGCTCGCAGTGCTGCACAGGTAGCTCTGTGCATTCAGCAGTTACAGAAATCAATAGCATGGGAAAAATCAATTATGAAAGTTGTAAGTGTTTTTACTTAAGAAATACTATAACTAATTTACTTCGTCCCATTTCTTTCAATTTTCAGCTCTCTTAGCTTAATCATGAATTACTTATTATTGTCTAAATATTATATGCTGTAGCACTTGAGAGTTTGACATTTTCTGTAAAGCACTGTGTAATCTGACATATTCTCTCAAAGATTTATTTGTGATCTTCTTCATGAAACTCACCAAGCCATATCTTTTTTTTTTCCTATTACAGAATGGTTGATATGTGTGGTTTCTTTTTATTGTTTAGAAAATATCAAACTACAACTGACATTTTCTTAAGGATTTTATATGGATAATAGTTGTTGACTGGCATATTTTAGAGGTCCTTCCTCTTTTAAAGGGGATAAGGAAGATAAAGTGTACATAATATACTCATGCAGTCTTAAAGATTTTCATAATCTCCAGCTTATTTCTATATCCTATTCTTCTGCATTTTTCTTTTTTTTCCACTGTCAGAAATAAAGTAGCCACTTTTAACTTCTGCCAAAAATTAGATATTTCTCACCCCTAGCCTGCATTGAGTGTGCATTAATCAAAATATGCTCATATTTAATGTCTACCAATCCACTAAGATCCCTTAGTCCAAACTTTGTATTTCACAGATGAGGAAATAGAGAGGGGAAGCGATTTATCTGTCACACAGGTAACAAGTAGCAGAGTCTGGATTCAAACCCAGATCTTCTTGTAGGAAATTCAGCACTTTTCCCCCCTGAACAATGAATTAGAATTTACCATTAGTTTTGAAGCATCCAGTCTCAGATATTTACTAGCTGTGTGACCCTGAGCAAATCACTTAGCCTCTATTTGCCACAGTTTCCTCACCTGTAAAATGGGGATAATAATAGCACCTAGCTCACAGGGTAGACAGACAGGTACCTGCCTACTTAAGGAAGCTGGGTGTTATATATAGTAGAAAATGATGGATTTAGAGTTAGCCTGTTTTGGAGTACTATGACCCCATTATCAAGTCAAAAGTTAACTTTTCAGGATCTCAGTTTCCTCAAGCAGAAGTCTCACCATAAAATTCCCCCAAAATCTCTAGTGGCTCCCTATTTTCTCTAGAACATATTAGACTCTCAGCCTGTCCCTTACAACCTGGCTGTAACCTACCTTCCCAGACTTATTTCACATTCCCCCCACCAAATTGAATACTCTGTGTTCTAACCAAGGTCACCAACTTGTTGTCCCATAATCCTGACCTTGAACCTCCTGAATTTGTGTCTTTGCTCAAACTCTCCTTTTTCCACCTGTTAGAATTCACATCTTCCTTGAACGTTTCACCTGCAGGTTAGCACCTCCTGTGTGAAACTGATTCTCATCCTTAGAGTTTGTTGACATTCTCTGCTTCAGTGGAGATTTGCTTTCCTGTATTTGCTTAACTATTTATGTGTTGAGAGACAGCATGGTGCGGTGTCAATTTGAGGCATCTTTATTATACGTTTTGTAAACTTTTCAACACTTTTATAGCTTGTTTGAAATCTCAATAACTTTATAATGTTCCTAATATACATTTAACATATTTTACACTTATTCTTCCGTAATTTAATTTCTCAGGAACATTTGCTTGATGTATACTCCTATTGCTTGTTATGTAGTTGTCTTTTTTTTTTTTTAAGGCAATTGGGGTTAAGTGACTTGACCAGGGTCACACAGCTAGTGTCACATATTTGGTCTGAGGTTGGATTTGAACTCAGGTCCTATTGACTTCAGGGCCAGTGCTCTATCCACTGCGCCACCTAGCTGCCCCTATGTAGTTGTCTTGAAGAGCAGTTGGGCATCCTTTTGCCACTCTTTATAAAGATACATCATTTTCTGTGGCAAATCCCTCACACTGGTTCTCTGTCTACATATACCTGAGGGATTTAGTACAGGAACATCATATTTGCAGAGATACTATCTGGGTATATGACACTGAATAAGAGAAAACTGTAATTTCGTATTTTTCTGTTCTTTTTAGCATGAGGAAAGCCCTTAATAACCATTTAATTCAGTGTTGTAATATGCTTTATTGTTATTAATGTTAAAATATAGACAGCATCTTCACCAATTTCCTTTAATATACATGGATACATACATACATACATACATACTTACATACCATTATTTACAAGGATTCCCCAAGTCCCTGAGAAAATGCAAAATGGTAGTTTTACTGTATGGTGCTATGTGTTTCATTCTTTTCATAAATTGAAATATTTGTAAGAACAAGTTTTAGGGTGTTGAAACTATTGCTTTTAAACTAGTGTTTCAAACTATCATTTGAGCTCATCTGTGCTTAGCACAGAGCCCAGCACATAGTAGGTGCTTTATAAATGTTTATAATTAAGCCAAGAATCTTGATTTGGGGACTCAGGAGATTTTATTGTGTGACTGTGGAAAAGTCATCTAACCTCTGTAAGCCTCTGTTTCCTTTGACATATGAAGGTGATCTCTGAGGTCTCTTCTGGGACTAATAAAAAAACAACCCAAACTAGCATTTATGTAGCACTTTAAGTTTTACAAATATCATCTCGTTTTATCCTCACAACAACCTGAGAAGGTGTTATTATTATCCCTATTTTATAGGTGAGAATACTGAGGCAGAGATGAAGTGACTTTCCCAGAGTCATATAACTAAGTTGTATGACTTGTAAGGCAGAATTTGAACTCACATTTCCTGGATTCTAAGTCCATCATTCTATCCACTTTGCTGCCTAGCACTAATAGTCCAAGAGTCCTTAACTAGTAGCGCCCAGTTTTCCTACAACTGTTCTCTCATTTTTTCACCTACATCACTTTTATCTCCCCACCTATATGGTAACCTTGAGGGTAAGATCTAATCCCTTATTCTTGTTTCATATTGCACTCTCCTCTCCCTCCATCTTTATAGTGTTAGTCACCTTAGTTGATTGATTACTTTTGGCACCAGATTCACAGGTAAAATTTAAGGTTAGTGTCTAGGGCTGATACTTCTACAAAGCTGATTGCCATATAACCATAGATCTTAAAGTTTTATTAAGCTGTTGTCTCTGTCATGGCCACCTCACCTCAGTTGATAGGGATATCCAAAAGGGAGAAGAATATGAACTATGTTAATGGCCCTTCTCTGCCCAACTCAGACACTTTACATTACTGAAAGGACCCACCCCTACCTCACTCCCATATTGTGATAACAGAAAAATAGTCCACTTCATTAAAATGTTGGGAACCACTTCTAGGGGTGCACTCACTTTCTCGTGATTAAAAGAACTTTTAAACTTTAGAAGTAAAGAATTTCAACCAAATGTTTATGTACATGATAACATGTAGTGACCATTTTCTAATACAAATATCAAACTTGATTTTCACAAAATTGAAGACCTAAGGTCTTTATCATCCTTCCCTAATATTACAGACTGAAATTTATTTTAAAAAACATAAATGTAGAAAATATTTTACAATGTGTTTTAATTCTCCATTATAGAAGACAGCACACATTTTCCTTATATGAATTATTTGAAATCTGTCAGCTTTGTTTTTTAAAGATTTACATTTAATATTCATGTTGGTGGTACAGATTTTTTTAACTCCATATCTCTATGATAGACTTTTTTTAAAAAAATGTGACTCAAATGTAGACACTTACATTACATTACATTCTTGTCAAATCAATGTATTCCTGGATATGGTAGAAGACATTCCTAGTACCGAAGGAATATTGAATCATTTCTCATTTGATCTTAGTAATACATATCAGTTTTACCACTTTGAGTGTGTACATGAGATAATGCAATGGATCTGGGATATCAGTGGTGTGGGTATTCCCTCCATCAGTATAAATCACAGTTTTCCCATGGGTTTTCATCCTCTAAAATTCTTGTAAATATCTCTGTAGGAAATACTTCATAAATCTTCCACAAAGGATCCACTCAACCTCCTTCAGACTTTCTTCTGGCTCTTTTAATATTTAGATTGTTCCAGCAGCACTTGTGCTCTTATCATTCACTTTCACTACTGACTGGTCCATTTTGTATTCTGATTGTGTCCCTGGTAATACTTTTTTATGCCATTTCTTAAACACAAATCTTTATCTTACTTATACCACCACAAATCTTATTGATTCACAGGTATTAATTGAGAGAATGTTGTATTTTTTTTAAACGACCAGTTGAAAGTGCTGCTTATTTCAGAATATAATTTAACCTAATCTTCTATTTGGAGTCAATTCTGGATCTAGCTCATTGTCTACTGTACAAGTTCATGCTGCAATCTGGGCCTTGTGTGTTTTTCTTTTTCTTTTCTTTTGTTTTATTTCATTTAATAAGCATTTGTAGTCTGTGTTTTTCATCCACTTTCTTTTTCCATTGTGGATGGTTAGGCTGCTAGCATATTACACATTTAACAGATATTTATTGAACAGAATACTGTGTAGCAGCAGGTTTACTGAAAAAATTCATAAGTTGCATTTGCATTTTAAAGATGTGAGTACTCTACACATTGTCACGAAATGTTTCAAATTATCTTAGATTCTCCGAGATTTTACTCTTGTATTAAATAGATGGGAACATGTAAATTAACTTTCATGTAACATGAACATGTAAATTCAGCCTTTAGCTTTGGTAATGAGATTGCAAATGCTATGCTAAATTAGTATTAATTTTTATGTTAAAATGTTCTTATTCTTTTAAATATTGATTGCAAGATGTTATCTGTTATATGAGCAAAAATGTGTAAGAATACATAGTCATGTAAGTCATTCAAAATAAGACTTGTCTGCTTTCTCTCAAAAATACTTTAAAGTATTGTATTTTTATATTTTTACTTTTCTTCTTTCAACTTGCTTATGGAGGTAGTATGTTCATACTTAAATTTTAAGATTTAAACCCACTTACCACACTTTCAGTATAAAGATATCAGAAATTCATGAAAAGAGAAATAATAACATTTTAAGTTAGTCAAAGGGAAAGAAATCATGAACTATTTAAAATAATTCTTTGTTTTAACTTGTACCCCCTTTCTCTTACTTTCAGTAAGAATCATGTTCATGGTAATTTGTATAATTGTAGCAAACACCTGATTTGGTTCAATTTTCATATTCACCTTTTCATCAGTTTTTAAAGTAGACACAAAATTAAAGAGAAATGTGTTCTTTTAGTTAGAATAAAAATCTAGGAAAACCCTGAATCTTAATCCTATTTCTGACACAGGTTCCTCTTTAATTTATTTTAATGTTTAACAGTAATCTTAACCCTTACTTCCTTCACAGGGTATTATGAAGATCATTATAAGATGGCCAAAAGAGAAAAATCATCCTAAAAAATATCATGTATTAAAGCTATTCATTGCTTTATGTGCTCTAATGTCATGTTAATTATTCCATATGTTAATGTGTACATGCTTCAGAAGTGTTTGCGGGCATTCAGCCTTTAGCTTTGGTCTTTGCAATGTACATAAAATATGCATTTTACCCCCGTAGATTTGCTCACCCTGTCATGTGGTCCATATCTGTGTAATGAGAGATACATAGATGTGTATGGCTATTGTATGTATGTTAGCAAGCGGAATGTTAATTATTAGTGCAAAATGTGAATTTTGGTACATTTAATTTCCCAAGAAGAAATTTTCAGATAGTATTGATTTTAAATAATTTTTCATGTATTGTAGTACTGCCAGATTTGCCGAAAGGGAGATAATGAGGAACTGCTTCTTCTTTGTGATGGCTGTGACAAAGGCTGCCATACTTACTGCCATAGGCCCAAGATTACTACCATTCCAGATGGGGACTGGTTTTGTCCAGCTTGCATTGCTAAGGTAACACTGACTTTAAAGTACACTGAATGTTGTTTTCTTTTTCACTTGTCATGAGTCAATTCAAATGTTCTGTGTTTTGAGCCATTAATGAGTTTCCCTTATTATATAATATCAGTACCAGGACATTCTGGCTCATCTGTATATACATCAGAAACTTCCATCAACTTCCTTCAGTGCTGCAAATCTTGAAGTACTATTACAAACAGCACTTTAATTTCTAATATATTTATATTTATAATTTTATGTTGTAAAGTAGCAGAAGTAGTAGTAATAATAACAGAGTAACCTATCTATGCTCAGAGATAGGTAGAGGATGAAGAAAATCAGTTTCATTTAGTTTGAAATGTTTTCTCTATCATTTAAAACCTAGAGATACGATTGTAGATTGATAGAAATGCATTTTTAAGAGTTCTGTATGCATCAATATAGGCCATGATCAAAACGCAACTATGACTTATTAGTAGGATGGAAAGATGAGTGGACTGCTAGTCATTATGTCTGAGTTCCAGTCCTATCACTGACTAGCCATTTCTGGCTTTCACTCTCTTCATCTGTAAAAATAAGAGCCTTAGACTAAATGATTTCTATGATCCTTTACAGCCTGGGGGGGGGGGGGGGAGAGAGGACAGAGAGAGGAGGAAGAAATGCATGATTCTAAGCATTTAAGTATGCTTTCTTTTTCTACCTGATATTTCAGGTTTCAATTAAATACCTAAAACAGTTGTGCCTGATAAAATAATTTAGAAATATTCAAGATGCCTGCTACATAGTACGCACTTAATAAATGTTTATTGATTAAGATGGTAGTTCTTCGTTTGCTGCAATTATGTATTTTTATTATATATTTATACTTTTTACATGTATATAAATATATGAGGGGGGCTTGGGAGTAGGAGGGGTATGTGGGTGTGTGATAGCTAGCGTAATGGCTAGAGTGCTAGGCCTGGAGTCAGGAAGAACTGGGTTCAAATTTGGTCTCAAGATACTTCCTAGCTGTGTGGGCAAGTCACTTAACCTATTTGCCTCTGTTTCTTTATCTGTGAAATGGAGATAATAATAGAATCCATCTCAAAGGATTGTTGTGAAGATCAAATTAGATAATCATTTTAAAGTTCTTAGCTCAGTATCTGGCACATAGTAAGTACTATATAAAAGATAGCTATTATTATATTCATATATAGACATGCATATGCATGTTTAAATAGTTTATATGCAAGTCTTCCCTTCTATATGTAAGCAGCATGCTAGCCTGTCATATTGAAAAAATGATTTTAAACTTAAGGACTGTATAGGAATCTTCAAATGAACCCTACCACAGTACAAACTAATTTTGCTTATTAAGTAATTTGTTGGAGTTTTATATTACTTACTTTTATGATTCTGTATTTTGTTTTTGTTCATTTTCCTTTAAGATATTTTTGGAAACACTGAAAATAAAAGCAAACACTACCCATTCTAGAAAAACTGTTCACTCAGTCTGCTGGTCAACTCCACGTAACTTAGGAACTGGAAAGGATTGATATGGAACAATTGAAAAACTAATTGGGGGGAGGGGCTATTTAGGGCTGTGAAAGAAGACTGATAGCAGTGCAAGTCCCAGTAAACTTCTGTGATGACTTTAAAAGGCCAAGAAACGTAGTCAAACTTTGTCCCAAAGCAAAAAGTTTTCCTAGTTTTATTTGTGAAGATAAGAACAAAATCATAGCTGCCCTTTTACAGTTTGCTAAAACTGACAATTAACTTTGTTAATGTATACAACATTGTTTTAATAATATGTGAAAAATAATGTCAATTTTATATACCTTCAGATTAATCTGATTTTTTTTAATACACCTATCATTTACTATGCATTTCTGAAGCTTTCAAAAAGGCATGATCCCTGCATATTCAGGACTAATTATTAAATTCTAGCATAATTTAGTGGGAAGAGTCCTGGATATGAAGTCTAAATGCCAGGGTTTAAATTCTACTTCTACTACTTACTCTGTGATCATGAACAAATAATTTCCACCAATTTGGGCCTCAGTTTCCTTCTCTGACAAATGAGGAGGTTCAGGGTTGAGGAACCTGTGGCCTCAAGGCCACATGTGGCCCTCAAGTGCTGCCCTTTGACTGAATCCAAACTTCACAGAATCTTCTTGGATTCAGTCAAAGGGTAGCACTTGAGGACCTAGAGGGCTGCATGTAGCCTCGAAGCTGCAGGTTCCCCATGCCTGCTGTCCCCAAGAACCCTTCCAACATCAAGTCCTTTGGCACAGCCATTTGTTTTACAATTCTATTGGAATTAAAATATTTAATAAATTTATGTACCTATATTTACAATGGATTCTAAGTATGCTGATAAATATCCATTCAGAGGGTTAGTAAAATTCACTGTTTTAGGAAAACAACAAACATCACAATTATGTGATTGAATTTCAAAATTCAGATTTCCTAAAGTCATATTGGTTTTTTTAGAACATGAACTCAAATAACATTTAAAGCAATACAAAATGATGATAGTAAGTAATTTGTATCCATTATCCAAGGTTTGGGAATTGCTTTTCTTGTTTTCCCTACTCTTTTTCCTCTCTCCTCTATTTTCCTAGAATATAGAATTTCTTAAATGTTTAAACTATTTTTTAAAAAACTATCACTCAGCTATTGAAACTATCATTAAAATGAAGTCAAGAAAACCTAGTCTTGACTCCTAACTCTGCCATTCACTGGCTACAATTTACTTCCCTGCTATGGGCTTCAGTTTCCTCATTTGAGGAATGAGGAAGCTGGAAGAGATTGCCTTTGAGGTCCATTCCAGCTGGAAACCTATGATCCATAAGAAGAGTAAAATTTAAAAGCATTTCTCCTCTCCATCAAAATATCAAACATTCTTTCTCAATGTTTTTAGTTGAGGGACCTGTAGAATGGCTCATGAAAGTCAAAATTAAAGAAACAAATGAATAAATTTCATCTGTAATTTTAAAGTTGTTATTATTTAAATCTGTAACATGAGGAAGGTTTAAGCTTAATAATCTTTACATTTTACTTTACACCTGTTGATTAAAAGCCAAAATAATATGAAATGTCACTTTTTCACAAGTGAAATACCACTCATAAAATGCTTACTTCCATAATACACTACAAGTAGAGGTACTAAGCAACAGTCTCTCTATGATGGAAGTGTCAAACTCACTGCCAAAGCCTATGAAACCCAAATTAAAATGTAATTGAGAAGTGTTTAACAAAATAAATAAAAAATACAACACAACACAGATAATGTTCATTTATGGTTTCCTAAGGCAACATGCTGCCCACAGGGTTCTGTTTCTATGCTAGTTTGATACCACTGCTCTATGACATGAGAGATGGTAAAATGAAAAGTCTACTTTGGTAAAAGTGCTGTGAATTCTCAGAATATCTGATACTTTTCAAATGTAAATATAAATACCTTCCAAAATCACATGTAAATGATTTTTTGGTTTGTCCACACTACATTATTCCATGAATAGCAGTTACGTAACCTGCTGCCTGAAAGGTCATATACTTTTGTGAAGATCAGTATAGTCATTTTGCTTGTGTTTAAAAAACATAGAGCACATTATAATTTTGATAAGATGGTAAATATGAATTTGTAGATGAGGAAAAAATTATAAATTTTTTTTGTACTTTCCCCCCCCCTTCCTTTTACTACCACAACATTGGTTGTGATATAGTACACAAAACTCAGAAAAAACTTTAGGACTGCTTTAAGTGAGTATACTGCAGTATAAGATTTTTTATGTTGATTTGCAAATCAAAATCCATACACATGACTATCTACACATACCTACCTACAATCATAAATATCAGATGCTCACTTATACATCCAAAATGGAAACGGAAAACAATTGTGGGACCACACCTTAATTCTCAGTTTACAAGAAATGGAAGCAAAAAGTCCACTAAATTGTGTTCATTTCTTCATAATTTTTGGAATTTTGTTTAAAAATATGAAGGAATGCAATTTTTTGGTTTACTCTGTACATGTGCATTATGGGGAAAATTAAATTGCTTTTTTTAATATTGCACATATAACAAATTTTCAATGTCTACAATAGTCTGTGGCCCAATGAAAACTTGGAGCAATTTTGGGCCTTATAATGGAAAAAAAAAGTGCCCTTTAGCTCTGAGATAGCTATTTGAAATGATTAGAAATTTGATTTCAGTCTTGGTCCCCTGTTGTCATGAGAAGCTGAGAACTCACTGTACCACCTTTTAAAAACTGCTGTGTTCTCAGAAAATGAGTCTATGGCTACCTGTCACTCTTTTGTATTTTCTAGTTAAAATTTATTGGCTTGAGAGGTCAATTCCTGACAGCTCAGAAATTCCCTCAAATTAGATTGTGGCTTTGAAATATTCTTGAAATGAGCTGAATCAACACTATAATCTACTTGACTATTTCCAAATCATTATAAGACTTATATAGCTCAGTATTTAAGAAAATAACTGTAAATAAGGGAGTTTAACAGATCTGAAATTAAGGGAACCAGTTTTTTCAAGTACTCAATGTATTTTCTTTGAATTTAGATATATTAGTCACAGTTAGACTTTTGAACAGAATTATTAAACTAAGAAACCTTAGAAATGATCTAGTCCATCCCCTTTATTTTATAGATGAGAAAACTGAGGCCCAGAAATGTTAATTGATTTGCCCAATATCATACAACTAGTGTGAGAACTATAACCCGTATTTGTAAATTCCTAGTCTTCTTTCCTATTCAACCACATTGTCCTTCTTTTTTTAAACAGAGAAGTCTTTGAACCCTCTCCTATTCTGCATCCCTCTGAGCATATTAAATTTTCTTAGTAAACTATGTATGTGTATATATACATATCATATATGTGCATACATAGATAGTTCAAACATATATGCACATAAAAGGGGTTACCATTTTAGTCCCTATAAAAATCAAAAACTTTCCCTATCCAGATCTTATACATTTTATTTTTGGAAACATTTTTTTTCCATATTTAACATAGTATGATTGTTATCTCCCTTTGAGATTTTAATAATTCTTGAACTCTGAGTAAAATTCCATGCTTTCTTCACACTGCTTTTCTTAATTAAATTGTATTCTAAATGAGAATCTTTTTATAATCTTTGAAAATTCATTCACTTATTGCTTTAAAGAAATATTCCTGACTTATTCTACAGTAAAAATGATTAATGTACAGTGGTGTTACTGTACTAGAGCTCTAAGAATTCTGAAGATAAATTCGATGGGGGAAAGAGTTTTCTTGCTGTATTAGCTTTTAGTGTTGTCATTAGAGCTGGCATAAGTGCAGAATTCTCTTTGAAAATGGGAAGAGAGTTGGATTTGATTTACATTGTGAAAAAATTCAGTAAGAAATGGTTTCAAGACCTCTCCAAAATTCTTTTTTATTCTTATTATTTCTACTGGAAATTTAGTGACTATGTGATTCCTAGGTTTTTGACTCACTTTGAAACAATCATACTTTTTTTAATCACTTGCTTTTGATCTGTGCAATTCCTTCTTTCCAAGAATAGCTAAAAAATAAGGACTTTTTTGTGTTGTTTCATTACTTGTTTTACCTTAGAGAAAATATCTTTATATATCAATCAAATTTCCACATTGTTTATTCCTTATTTACATTTTTCTTTTATAGGCAAGTGGTCAAACTCTAAAAATCAAAAAACTTAATATCAAAGGAAAAAAGAGTAATGAACAAAAGAAAGGGAGGAAATTATCTCTAACAGGTGATACTGAAGATGAAGATTCAGCAGCCACAAGTAGTTCACAAAAGAAAGGAAATAAAGACCCCAAGAAAAGAAAAATGGAGGAAAATGTCTCTGTAAACTTGTTAAAACAAGAAAGTTTTACTTCTATTAAGAAACCTAAAAGAGATGATTCTAAGGACCTGGCTTTATGCAGGTAGATTTTCTATTCTTCCTTACTTTAAAAAATTTTCAGTATCCTCCTAAATGTATTAGGAACTTTTCAAAGTTTTTCAATAAATGCTATTTTTTATTCATATTAGTAGAAAAATTATTTTAAAAAATATTTCTCTTCTTTTAACCACATATTCTATTAAAATATACTGTATCAACAAATGTTTAACTATGAGTTTGTTTCAAACTTTTTTTATTTAGCATGATCCTGACTGAAATGGAAACTCATGAAGATGCATGGCCTTTTCTACTTCCTGTAAACTTGAAACTTGTCCCTGGTTACAAGAAGGTTATTAAGAAACCGATGGATTTTTCTACCATTAGAGAAAAACTAAGTAGTGGACAGTAAGTAAACATATTATATTGTAAAGCTATAAGCTGTTGATAGTATCTTATATGACTTTTACTTAAAATTGACTTTATCATCGTTCTAGGTTATCACAAAATTCCAAAGGTAGCATATCATTAGAAGTTTTAAAAAAGGAATGCCTAAAAGCAGAGGTATTGATTATTCCTTCATTTCTTTGGGAGTACCCCCCAGTTCACTCTTCCATTTGTCTGGGGGAAGAAATAATCCTTTTTTTTCCTTTTTAGTATGTTCTACACAGTAAACTGACTAAAGGGAGAATAGCTTCCCAGTAACTGGATAGTGTACTTTGCTGTACCATATCAGAGTTCCTCCTGGGGAATGTAAGGACACAATGGTATCCTATGAGTGCGTTTTGCCTCCCATGGACAGTGTGTACTTTTGGAGCTATGCAGATGGGGCTTTTACTGGGAGAACAAACCCAGATAGAGCCATTCTACCTATGAATTCATAAGTCACTTCCTTCCCCCTCCAAACCAGTTAATGGCTTTCCTTTGGGATCTTAATCTACAATGCCCTTCCATAACCAGAGAAAGAACAACTAATAAATTTACCACCTATGTGTGTAAGATTCTGAGCTATCAGACAAACTCCAAATAAATACATCAGTTGGTTTATTCTAAGCATTTTTTTCCTTAAGAAGATAGCATAGGACTGAATCAATTTAGAAGAGTCGATTGGAACTTTGTTTAAGGTTTATCTGTATTATTACCATACTAGTCAAACAAATTTACTAGCGGAGGAATCTTAAACTATTTCAATGTTATGACTAATATTGCAAATATTATAACTGATAAAAATTTTAAAATTAAAAAATAATTAATGGCATTTGACAGATCCTATATTTAGAGCCCCTGCTCAGTTGCACAGTTTGGATCCACACAAAGTCTTCATGCCATGTGAAAATCTATTTTTAAACAGAATGGCATCTCAAAACTGCCAAATTAACCAACCCTAAGATGACTGTGAGAGTTGAGAATTTGTGGAGTTACCCGACCCAGATGGGGCTTTAGTAGAATTTGGAAGCAGAGAAGATCCATGATTAGGCAGAAATGAATGGAAAAGAAATGGGGCTTGAAAGATGTTTTTAAAGGCTGAAAAGAAGTTAAAAACAGCAAATAGAGTGGAAGTTATGGTTAGGGAACTGATGGGGAACTGGGGAAGGCAATTTGTAGAGACTTTTATAGTCCATTTTGTAAAGCTTCACCTTGATGTGGGAAATAATTGAGAGTATATAAAGGGTTCTGAACCAGGGCAGTAATATGACTGAGAAAGGAGATATTCTTTATGAAATGTTGGATGGAGAGGAGAAGGGTTTGAGGCCAGAAAGAGGGCAGCCACCAAAGTCCAGGATTGGGGTAATTGGGACTAAGACATTATAGAATATTGTTGTTGTTGTTGTCTGTCCTTTCTTCTCACATCAGGAAGGTGATGCCTTGACTTGCAAGTAAACTGGATTTAAGTGAGGCAGGGCTATGCAAGGTCACCTGCCTCACTCTCTCCTCAGGCACCATCTGGGTCCATAGCAAGACATAGGTCAGGATGACTGGAGATGGCTCCGGATACAGTAGGAGACCTTGGCCTTTTTGAGTTTAGGTCTTTCCCAGGTCTTAGTTTGTCAAAGAAATACTACAAAAAAAAAAAAAAAAAAAAAAGCAGCAGCAGCAGCAGCAGCAACGGATAGACTATCTTTCAAACAGAGGTTGGATGTTTTGTTAGGGTGTTATAAGAAAGTTTCTATACTGCTTCAGGTATGAAGTGGATCTCAGATGTCCCTTCCAGCAGCAAGATTTTTTGATTTAGAATCATTCAAAGTCAATGACTTAGCTCTGACTCAAGATAGAGTAATGACTCTCTGGTTTTTGAGGCTAGATTCCTCATAAGAAATTAAAAATCTCTGAATATACTAGAGCAGCAGTAGAAATTTCTGCTGCTTTGCTTTTCAATGCTATCGAAGTATTATTCTCAAAGCTTGAAAGTCTCACTCCTGATGTATTCATTTTTTAAAATACTCTTTATCCCAAGTCAGAAATAATTTAGCATTTGCATTTCTAAAAGCCCTCTTTTGAAATATATTGGTACTCCATTTGGTTTTAATACCCACTTACCTACTATTTATCAATTGGAGAAGTTTCCTTCCCACTGTGCTTGCTCACAGAGTATGAGTTTTTCCTAGTGGAAACACTGAAAAAACCTGAGAGGCCTAAAATGCCTTTTTCTGTTTAGAGGAAGGCTGTTTCTTATGACTTATCATCACTTGCAAATGAGTTTTAAATGGTTTCTTTTATTTGTATTGGTCTGCCTGGAGCTGACTGGAAGAATAAGAAATAAAGGAGTTTGTTTCTAGGACAGAAGAATGAACTTGGAAAACAGAAGTTTACAAAGGGAGAAATACTGAGAAGATAGTAGAAATCTCAGATCTTAGGTAGCTATGAGCTATCTAAGGCACAGTGGATATGTGTATGCATAGATTTAAGTAGATGACTATAGTTAAGTACCTGAGTATTGAAACAAAGTGTGTCTTGATTAAGGGCACTATTGTTTCTCTCCTTTGTGTAAAAAAAAAAGTGTGCTATTAATCTACATGCAAAAGCTGCATTAGTCTTACTATTATTTGAAATAAGCATTGTTTATTCCAATTACCATGCTAGAAATTGTAGGAGCACAAACCTAGGAACTAGAAGGAAACTTAAAATGAAGCCCAAGGAGATAAAGTGGTTTCCTCAAGGTTATACTGGTAGTGTCAGAGGTAGCATTTGAACCCAGGTCTTCTGACTCCAGAAAGTCCTCTTTTCACTCTACCACATTGCCTTTATTCAGATTACATAGGATGATTCAAGTCCTAAAGGATATTTGTGATGCTTAGCCAAACAACAAAAAAACCCCCCACAACATGGCCTAGATACCTGAAAAAACCGTATATATCAGAAATATGGGATCATCTGAAAATATTATTTGCAGAGATCTGTAGAACTCTCCCCATTTAAATCCATTTATGCCACATAACAAAAAATAAATAACTTTTTCTAGAATTCCATTTTCATATTTTATATTTAGAAATTCCAGTTTGGAATTTTATGTAGCCAACTTAAGTCTAGTATTCTACTCAGTTTTGTCATGAATGAATGAAAAAAGGAAGAAAAAAATGTAAGCATTGTTAATATGCTCTGGTACTATATGCTAGTAAGTATAAGTATAAGCTCCCTGGAGCTTATAAGGAACTTATATTATAGAAGGGAAGACAGTACACATTGGGCAGCTAGGTGGTGCAGTGGATTGAGAGCCAGGCCTAGAGTAAGAAAGACCTGAGTTCAAATCTAGCCTCAGATAATTACTAGCTGTGTGAACCTGGGTAAGTCACTTAACCCAATTTGCCTCAATTTCTTATCTATAAAAATGAGCTGGAGAAGGAAAATGGCAAACCACTCCAGTATCTCTGCCAAGAAAAACAAATGGGGTCATGACTGCAATGACTCAACAGTAGACACTAAGGAAGGGAACTTGGGTCTAGGAATTCACTGGCATAATAAGCTGATCTATAGGGAAGTTGACCAACTCACCCTTTCCCAAATCCATGATAGTAAGTTGATTACTATACACAGAGCAGGAGGTAGAAAGAGGGAAGAGAAGAATCAAAAGCATCACAGGGCATCACAGAATAGATGGCAAGGTGGCCTGGCTGGACTAAGGGTTTTTTAGATCCTCTTATTCGACAATCAAAATGACGTTGTTTCAGTAGGGCAAAAAAAGATAACAAAAGCTTTCTTTTTTTTTTCTTCCAGGTACTCTAACCTTGAAACCTTTGCTCTAGATGTCAGGCTTGTTTTTGACAACTGTGAAACCTTTAATGAAGATGATTCTGACATAGGCAGAGCTGGCCACAACATGAGGAAGTATTTTGAAAAAAAATGGACAGATATTTTCAAAGTGAGCTGAAGTTATCAGAACTACTCTTCCCCCTTTAAACAGGACAGATGAGACCAGCAATGTGAACTGTATTTACGTAAAAGTGCAAGGCACATACATAAGACTTTTTTTTTCCTTAAGTATCAGAAAAGTGATACTACTTCTAAAGGCTTCACTCCTACAGCAACCATGGCCCTTGGTTATTGGTTTGTATGTTTTATCAACTAATTTAGGTAGAACAGGGAAGCACACCCAAAGAATTTTCAAAGAGAGGGGTGTTATAGTGCAATAGCAATGAAAATATATCAAAACGCACTGAATATTCAACCACCAGAGCTCTACTTGGGAAATGGTTCTCCTTTCCCACTCAATAAATATCTATTTTTCATTTTTTTACTTTGTAGTTTATTTTTTAGTGAATGTATTTAATTTTATGAATTATTTATGATTAAACTGCATCCAGAATCTTCGTTTTCTGTGAAAAGGAAGAATTAGAAAATTGCTTTAAATCTTGAAAATACAACGAGGAATGTTTTAAAATATAAAACAAAGCCAAGTAAAACTGTTTACACTGATGTGCTATAAAAGCACTAAAAATTAAACTTTACTGTAGAGTAACAAGTACATTTATATATATGTTGCTGCATCACTTGTGTAGTTAAATTGTATTTCAAGACAGTGAAGAAAAATTGACATGTATATACTGTTCATTATTGTTTATATTAAGTATTGTTTTAAATATGTATGATGTGTACATATTGTTGCAGACATTATTGTTTATGCCTTAGAAGGATTGTAGCATTTTATTTTAGTCTTAAGGTAATTATAGCTATACAGCTTGTACAGTAATTATCCTCTACCAACACTGTGGAGTCTCCTTAATCTTGGTAGTGCCTGCCTTTGAAACAGGGTGTAGGGGATATTAGTTTTCCATTTTTTCTATTTTGTTATATAATTTCAAGCCACCAGGGCCTACAAATTCAAGTATATAATCATTTGTATCCATGTGGAATAAAATTGTGACAATTTCCTACGCACACAGTATTTTTTCATAGAAACATTTCCCTCCCATTTGCCTTGCCACAGAAATAAATTAAAAAAAAGAAAAAAAGACATTTGTAACCACTGTGTTTTATCTACTGTGTGTTGTGGTGGCCTATTGGAGGCAGATAGATGAGAATTTTTTTTGTACCTATGTAAGAGTACTTGAAGTTTTATTTAAAATAAAATGTTGTGGAAAAGGTAGCAATCTTTTCCCCCCCCTTTTTTTTAGGAGTGTTATTTTTCACTAGTATGTGTGGCACGGATACAATAAAAGACTTTTGCAAACTAGTTTAAGTTTTTTTTTTTTTTTTAGTAACCCTAAAGTTAGAATTTTTTAAAATCCTGATTTCTAAATGCTTTGACATCCACATAGAGAACCAGAAAAAAAATGTGTTAAAAGTATAATATATCAAAATGATTAGATTCCTGATTTAGTTCATAGGATTCAACAAAAGGTCATAGGGGAGTTCCCATTATTTACAGCTAAATACAGAGCAGGGAAAATAAAAAAAAATTTAAAAACTAAATTGTTCTTAACTTAGAATTGAGAGCCACAAAATATACACAAAGTATCCTCCAAAATTCCTTAAATGGGTAGCTAACACTTGTATGACTATCATCACCATGTTTATTTGTAGTGGTAAATGTCAGGTTTCAGTTAACTGAACACTGAATTAACACTTTAGAAGTTTCATTCAAAAAATACAAAATGGGGTTGAGAACTCAAATATGTTTCTGTGTGTGAAAAATTGTCAGTTGCTCCATATGGGTTATTTGTGCTTTGTCCCTTTCTTTTTATTGCTTACGTTCCATGCCAGGCTTCTTAACTTTTTGTGTGTCATGAACCATTTTGGCAATTACGTGAAGTCTATGGACCTTTTTTCAGAATCATGTTTTTAAATGCATAAAATAAAATACATAAGATTATAAAGGAAACTAATAATTTGAAAGTTATCAAAATATTTTTTTTAAAGTTCAGAGATCTCAAGTTAAGAACCCTTGATTTATGCATTTAAATTAACCTTTATTATTTTAGATGGAATAGAAAGGGACTACACATGAGTATATTTCAGCACCTGCCCGAGTAACTCATTAATGAGGGGAAAATATCAGAATGAATAAACATAAAAAGTCAAATTTATTAAATGTTAATAACTACATTTAAAAGGCAAATATCCTTGAAAAAAGGACATTTTGGTAAAATATTTAAATAGGGATTTTTATTTTACCACTGTAAACTTATTTCCTTCAGACCTAGATGTATCAATAAAATGAGAATGTTAATTTTTTCTTCATGTATGTGATACATAAATACGTACAATAAGTTCTTGATTATAGTAATATTAAGATGACACATGTAATACTTTAAGGTTCACAAAGTACTTTACATAAATTATCTCCTTTGATTCCTATAAGGTAATTACTACAGGTAATATTATTACCCTCATTTAATAGATGAGGAAACTGAAGCTGAGAGACAATGAGACACTTGCTCATGGTGATTAAAATATTAAATGTCGAAGATAGAATTCTGGCCCCTGCCTTTCTGCTTCTTAAGTCAAATATTTTATACGTGACACCATGTTGCCTCACAGTATCAAATAAGCTCATTAATTTAGGTAGTCCAAGGTAACAATTAAGCTACTCCAAAAGTCTTGTATTTTCCAAGAGGCATTATTCACCTTCACTGATGCTACTGTTGCTACAACTATCAACAATGATAAGATATAGCTATTTCCTGGGTTAGCTTCTGCCCTGCCCTGTTCAGAAGTGACAGTGTTAAGGGGGCAATGGGCATAATTCTAACACTTAGCACCAAGTAGGTAAGGTGAAAGTATCACCCTGCATATGTGGAACATTTCTAATGTATTAAAACGTCAAAAGCCTGTCACAAAGAGGCATGATATTATAGTGATGGAGGCTTCAGTTACCTGTACATCTCTTAGACTACTCTCCTTCCCAAAGTCAGAGTCACTAATAATGTCTTAAACTGCCATAATAATTTGATCTTTCAAAACATCGAGTAACCAATGATGGCGACTTATTCTGACTTTGCATTTTTCTAAATCACGTACCCATTTTGACTTTATCTTGCTATAGGGTGTAACATGTTGGTCTATGCCTAGGTTTCTGCCATACCATTTTCACTTTCCCAGCAGTTTTTTTTAAACAGTGAATTCTTGTCCCAGAAGCTGGAGTCTTTGGATTTATCAAATTACTATAGTTAATGACTGTCATGTCTTGCATACCTAACCTATTCCACTGATCCACCACTCTATTTCTTAGCCAGTACCAAGTAGTTTTGATGATTGATTGCTGCTTTATAATACAATTTAAGATCTGGTACAGGTAGGCTACCTTTCCTTGCATTTCTTTTCATTAGTTCCTTTGATATTCGGGAATTTTTGTTCTTCTAGATGAATTTTGTTATTGTTTTTTCTAGCTCTATAAAATAACTTTTGGTAGTTTGACTGGTATGGCACTGTATAAGTAAGTTAATTTGGGTAGAATTGTCATTTTTATTATATTAGCTCGGCCTACCTGTGAGCAACTGATATTTTTCCAGTTATTTAGATCTGACTTTATTCGTGTGAAAAGTGTTTTGTAATTGTGTTCATACAGTTCCTGAGTGTGTTTTGGCAGGTAGACTCCCAAATATTTCATAATGTTTACAGTAACTTTAAATTGAACTGACTGCATTTTTCAACAAGGAGAAGGAACTGGATCTTGGAGTACAAATGATGTTAACTTAGGCAAGATGTAAACATTCCACTTAAAATTTAGACTAAAAAGGAGAGAAATTCCAGGCATAGTTTGAAATCTACTCTAAAATTTTGAGAAAGCAGATTTCAAAGGTTCAAGTTTAGGTACCTTTGACCTAAAATTCTATGTGGGTAGTCAGCTCAGGAGGATCAGGAAGCTTTTAAGAATTAAATTCTAAAGCTATAAAGAGAATTTGTATGAGAATGAAAAAGGGGAATTCCCTAAAGAATCCAATGTATACATACTAGGAAATCACCAAGCAACTTGGATTTTAAAAGAAGATGGAAACAAGAAGGCAAAATGGAAAGCAAGAAGGTGGTGGCACAGTGGATAAAGCACTGGGCCTGGAGTCAGGAAGAACTAAATTCAAATCCAGCTGCAGACACTTATTACCTGTGTGACTCTGGGCAAAACACTTAACTTGTTTGCCTCAGTTCCCTCATCTGTAAAATAAGGATAATATTATATAAGTACCTGCCTCTCAGGGTTATTGTGAAAATGAAATGAGATAATTGTAAAGTACTTAGCACAGTGCTGGGCATGCTATTACATATGTTGTTGTTATTATTTCACTATTATTATGGACAATTACAAAAGTGTGGCATAGTCCTGGAAGAATAATTTTGGGGATTTAAACATTAATGTGAACTGAAATGGGCAGGGAAAACTAAATGTTTATCTGTCTTGGAGAATAGATGAGGGTCTAAGAAGTAATTGGACCACTGCTCAGGGTAGATAGTACCATGATAACCCATAATAGAGAGAAAATAGGGATTGCTGCACACATATCTTTCATTTTGTTTTTCCTTTCTCTGCCAAAAATATCTGCACTGGAAAGGGCAGAACAGAAGTAACCAAATAGGGAGCTGATACTCAATATAAGTAGGTAGATACTCACCTACTAGCTGCCTTTGTTGAATTTAAGTCATCTGGTCCAGGCAAAATACATCTCAGGTTACTGAAAGAACTGGCAGATTTGATTACTGAAGCACTGTCAGTGGTCACTAAAAGATTATGGAAAATGGGAAAGGTGCCATAGGACTGTAAATGGGGCAAATGTTGCTCTGATTTTCAAATAAGAAAATTGGAGTCTGTAATCTAAAATCCAGTGAGCTTCACTTTAATTCCTGACAAAATTCTTAACTATAATTATTCATTATTCTTACTCTTAATGAGATCATGGCGGTTAGTCCCCTTGAGGACATGGACTATTTTCTTTTTCTGTTACCAACATTTAAAACAGTGTTTGGGATATAGTATTAATACATTTTTGTTGATTGATAGATCTAGGTAACAGTGATCACAAAGATCTAACATGGCTTCATCAAGAATAACTTATAATCTCATTTCCTTTTTTGACAGTGTTATAAAAAGTGCTCCACAAAAGTTCTACTCTGATGTCTCATCATATTACCAAGGTGACCCTGGGTTCATGTAGATCCCCCTATATTTACTGTTTGTTGATTATTTTTAAAATGCTTCAATTGAACCAAAGGCCATCTTATAGACAACAAGGTTTCTTCCATCTGTATATCAAATTAATTCAAGATTCCTTGGAAGATGTAACAACAGAAATAACACTTTCAGTGACCTCTTGATAATAAATATCACATGAAGCATAAAAGAGAGAGATATGCTTATCAAAACTATTCGCCACTGTGATGGAGGATATATAGCACAGTGTACATACAAGATAAGGAATTCCCCATGGATAAAATGCTCTGTCATCACTCAAAGGAATTTGGCCTATACATCCATTCAGGAAGGATCATGTGAATAAAGAATGTTTATTACCCAGATTTTAACATGCCTCTAAGAGGAAACCCTATGGAGTGTGTCCAAGAGTATGTATGTCTGGGACAGATGATATGGATGAACAATGAGTGGGGTCCAGAGTTGAAAAAGAGGAGGAGAGTAGGCCTTAGTGCTTTTGGTAAATTACAAAGAACTTTTATTGATCCCAAACTTCCCATAACAACAAAGGTCCATCTTTTCAAAAATGAACTTTTTGTTACTGTTGCTGTAGGGCAGTGAGATCTGGAGTAACACACTGCCTTTGAAGAATTTAAGATTAACATTACAAAGAGGGCAATGAAAAGGCATATGGTGGATGTGAGCAGGCTGCAACCTACAATCATTGAGGAACTCCAAAGAACAGGTTAAAGGGTATTATTGAAGACCTCTATTATGGAAAGAGAATATGAGCCAGTCACTTGGCAAGAGCAAGGAATCAGAAGTAGATAAGCCACAGTGTTCCACTAGTACACTCTCAATGTCAGGAGAAACTGAGGAAGGCATCCATCATGTTTGAGTAGGACCCCCTTAAGTTAACTTTTGGGAGGACACAAATGAGTATCATACAATATCTGGGCTGGACCTGACTCAAGCCAGTCCCCTGGTAGTTTATGTTTAACACTGGAATGAAATGAGACACTTATTGTAATAAAAGGAAATTTACTTAGCTATAGCAGGAGGATGTTAAACACATTTACAAAGCTGAAGAAAGTTCCTCAGCCTTTGGGGTG